CTCCTAATTAAAGATTAGTTCTGTCAAGCAAGCAGTTTTTGGCTGTTCTCTTCTGCACGGGTTTCACAACATTTCTTACTCATCTGGGCACAAGTTGGAGTAATTTCTCCTTGCACACAGGCTTCATTTCAGGCATGTGAGCAGTCCTGGAACTAAAGTTAGGCACATGAATAAATATTTCCAAGGTTGAGGCCCTTGTCTGAATCTAAATATTTTTCTCTTTGATCAGCTTTGGAGATAGCAGATACTTGAATTCTGGTAATATTTTAGTAGTGGAGGAAAAAAAAAAAAACCCAACATGGTTATCTGGATGCTGTGCTATTTATGGTCAGCTATATTTTCAACCTCCCAAGCTAGAATGGAATGCTTTGTACTGCTGGAAGCTGGGAATCCACCCTGCTCTCCTATTTTTTGACACATTCAGTCTTCAAATCACCTTTTTCTGTTTGGCTTCCAGGTGGTTATTAGGCACTGGTGGTGAATATGTGTGAGCTAACCTGAAATCCAATGTTTAATCTATGCTGTTATTACTTGTAGGTGTATTTTCCTCGCTTAAATAGATTTTCCTAATGCAGCATGACTAAGAAGACACACTTTTAGTCATTTGATGCATTTAAATGACTCAAATTATTCGGACCCAGCATTTTAAAAACAAAATCTGCCTTGGCTTTTAATTGGTGCTGGTATTTGGGAGAGTGGAACAACTCGTTTGAAAATGTGCTGATGTTCATCAGTTATCAGACAAAATGTCTACAGGGTTTTTATCGTGGAGCCTAAACTTGCCAGCTCCTTTTGGAATTGAGGCTCCAGCTGTTCACCACACCCTGCTCTGCCTTCTTGCTGCTGTTTACAGTAGGAGGTGAAATATATTTTAATTTATGTTGTGCTGGGTGCTGTAACACGGTGAGGGGATTTTCAGGGCTGCTTTCAAATTTAGTATAATTTCCAAGTGAAGATCAGTTGCAGTGAAACATAGGTAAAGTCCTGGGAGCTCCTCTGTGATCTTTGATTGGATTTCATCCATTTTTACTCTGCTTCCTGCAGATAAAGTCCTGGGAGCTCGAGCCTCTGTGATCTTTGATTGGATTTCATCCATTTTTACTCTGCTTCCTGCTGTAGTGGCACAGTGTTTGGGAAATGAGGAATGTCTTCCAGGTGGTGTTCAGGGAGGGAAATGGGAGAAGGGAGGAATGGGGTGCTGAATGCTCCCAGCAAGGATCAGTGTTGTAGCCTCAGCTCAACTGAGTCTTCCACCTGAAATTTCTGTGATTTCCTAACTCGTGCCCAGGAATTATTTCAGATCCAGGAGGGGAGGGTCTTTGGGGGCTGGAGAGCTTCACCTGCAGCCTGGCTGGACAAAGCTCATCCTTTTCCCACTCCATTGAGTTTAGAGAATACCTGTGAAGCAAAGGAAAGGCAGGAGAGGGTGGGGAGTGGTGGTTGTGCAGCACCCGGAGACTGTGCTGGGATCATCTGCTGCCTCCATCCCTGCTCCCACCATGTCCCTGCCTCCTCCTTTGCTTCCCAAGCTGTCCCTTCCTCCTTCCCTGCTCCCAGCCTGTCCCTGTGTCTGTCCCTGCTCCCAGCCTGTCCCTGAGTCTGTCCCTGCTCCCAGCCTGTCCCTGAGTCTGTCCCTGCTCCCAGCCTGTCCCTGAGTCTGTCCCTGCTCCCAGCCTGTCCCTGAGTCTGTCCCTGCTCCCAGCCTGTCCCTGAGTCTGTCCCTGCTCCCAGCCTGTCCCTGAGTCTGTCCCTGCTCCCAGCCTGTCCCTGAGTCTGTCCCTGCTCCCAGCCTGTCCCTGAGTCTGTCCCTGCTCCCAGCCTGTCCCTGAGTCTGTCCCTGCTCCCAGCCTGTCCCTGTGTCCATCCCTGCTCCCAGCCTGTCCCTGTGTTCATCCTTGCTCCCAGCCTGTCCCTGTGTCCATCCCTGCTCCCAGCCTGTCCCTCTGTCCATCCCTGCTTGCTTGGGACCAGAAGGAACCTCAGAAGCTGAGCCAAGGGGCTCCAGCGCTGCCTGGGGTGGGGGGCACAGCCCTGGAATGGGGTCCCTGCCCAGGGAGGAGGATTCCCCAGAGCCAGCTGGATCCTGACCCCTTGTACCACCCAGCTGTGAGCACAGCTGTGGATTAGGAGCAGGGGATTTTGGCTCCCACCCCACAGGAATTTGATATTCACCGGTAACGTCAAAGCATTAAAAAAAAATTCCGGTGTTTTCAGCGCTGCTTTGTTTACAAAATCTTTAAAGTTCCTTCCTAAATAATTAATCACCAGCCTAGTATAATAAGCAGAAAGGTTTTACACAACTTCTGGACCTGGAAAATAGGACATTAGTGTTTCACAGATGATAAAGAGCTCTGAACCAGCCCAGAGGTCCAGCAGTGAACTCACTTTGTGTTATCCACGAGCTCTGCCTGATGCTGCAGCAGCAGAGCCTGCAGTTCTGGGTGCTGATAAGAACCTCTGTAGGATAAAGTTTGTCACTAAAATGCTTCATTAAAGTACTTAGCAGTGGTGTTAGGGTTTTTTATGCTGCTCAGAAGTTCAAATGCATCAGATAAAAAAATGGGCGTAATTCATCCTAAGCATCTTTTCCTATCTTTCCCTGGATTCCTTTTTCTTTTTTCTTTTCTGCTTTTCAGTGATTGCTGCTCTATCTACTGGCTGCTCAGGGTTCAGGCAGGGTTGGATTGGCCTGAGATGACTTTTGTTTGCTTTCCTTTGGGATTCAAGCTGTCTGTCCTGCACAGAGTCCTTCTTCCCTGCCTCAAATTCGTAACTGGGGGATGGGATGCTAAAGAGATGTGGCTTTGCAGGTAGAGCAGAACGAGGAGAGGATGTTTCTTATTTGAATCAGGGTGGATTTCCCAGGCTTTTAAGATTAAAATAGAGCTTTTGGGGGCAGGAGGAAGGAGGATTACCACGTCTTCCCTTCAATTAATTAACTTTTTGCTGTTTATGCAATCACAGGCCCTATCTACCCCCTTAATTTGGAAGCTGCTGTTGTAGTTCAGCTAAATTCAATGCTGTTATCTGAAAGATGGCAAATGTCTTGCTGTGAATAATCATTTTCAGGAACAGGCAGACAACATTTTAATTTCCCTTGCCTAATGTGTCATCAGATGCTTGTTCTGGAGTTCCATATTAGTGCATGTTTGCACAGGGGCTTGGCATGTGGGAGCTGGCCAGTTTTGGGTGTTTCCACACTTGATGGCACAGCTCTTGTTCCAAGAGAGGGCTTAGGCTGGCTCTGTGCAGCCACTTAGAGTTTTCAGTAATGAGGAGGGAGCTACTGGAGCTTTAGGACTGGGATTTTCCTGCCTGGGCCACTCCAGGTGGAGTTGTGGAGGGGAGGAGGTGACAAGAGGAGCGTTTGGGGCAGTTTTGTGCTGCCAGTCAAGGAATCTTGGTTGGAATGGTCTGGCAAACTCTGGGAGAATGGTTTGGTTCTGGGATGTGGCTGTTGCTCAGCTCAGGATCACAGAAATGCCACCTCCAGTGATGGGCACTCCAGACCCTCCTGGGCAGCCCCTCCCAGTGTCCAACAACCCTTTCCGTGGAGAAATTCCTGCTGCTGCCCTGCCTGAGGCCCTGTGTTATTCACCCTTATGCCAAATGTTCTACCTTTCACTAATTTGGGAGAAGATTCCAAACCCCCCTTGGCTCCAGCTCCTTTCACCTGAGCCTGGTTTTGGAACTCTTCACAGGATTCACAGAATTACAGAATTAATTCACAGAATCACAGAACTCACAGAATTTATATAATTTACAGAATTCACAGAATGCCCAGGTTGGAAGAGAGCTTTCACCTGAGCCTGGCTTTGGAGCTGTTCACAGGATTACAGAATTAATTCACAGAATCACAGAACTCACAGAATTTATATAATTTACAGAATTCACAGAATGACCAGGCTGGAAGAGACCTCCAAGATCATCGAGTCCCGCCCAGCCCCAACAGCTCAACTCAACCCTGGCCCCCAGTGCCACATCCAGGCTTTGTTAAACACACCCAGGGATGGTGACTGCACCACCTCCCCGGGCAGCCATTCCAGAACTTTATCACCTTTCTGTAAAAAACTTTTTCCTGCTATCCAGCCTGTATTTCCCTTGGTGCAGCTGCAGGCTGTGTGCTCTGGCTCTGTCAGTGCTGCCTGTCCCTGAGACAGAGCTACTGCTCCTTGTCCCTCTCCTGTTGTCCTTTTCTAATCCAGACTTGGGGACTGTTGGTCATTAAGAAATCAGTGTGTTTCAACTAAAAACATAAAATAAAATCTAAAAATAAACGGTCATTTCTTGCCCTGGTCACCTCTGTGGTGTTTGAGTTGTGTGGGGTTGAATTTCTTCTCTCTAAAGCCTCACCCCAGCACTTCCTGAAAAATGTATATAAATAGGAGAAAATGCATGAAGAATAATTATTTTATACATAGGGGGAAATTATCAGCTATAAACCACCTGCAGAGCCTTCTTTTAGAACAAAAAGTGATTTAAGTTACCTGTCCTTGCCTTACACAGCTCTAAATGTGTGTTTTGCCTTTCTAGTGAAGGATCTGAAACATAAAAGGAGCAGGAACGGAGCTGAGCTTGTGAGTCTGAGAAGGAAATAGTTTTGTTTTATGAGAGTAGAAGTTTTGGGGCCTCGAGCTGGATGGCACCACCTGGTTCTGTCAGGAATTCAAGGGAAAAAAAATCCTGGATTCATAAACCCCACGTTTTCCTCAGTTAAAAATACAAATATACTTTGTTCTCCCTTCAGCTTTGGGTTTGTTGCTTTTGTTATCTATATGTAAAATACTACTTGGAATAGGTAATTTAATTTCAACTTTGTTGCACTTGTCTCGAAGATGGCAAGTTCATGGAGTTCCATGAAAATAGAGATGGTTTTTTTTGTGAAGGTACCAGAGAAGTGTAAAATAACTGTTTGTATTTAAGCACTAATGTTGATATAAAACCTGATATTGAAAAATAAAAGTTCATTAAATTTCTTTTTTTTTTTTTTTTCTTTTCAGGTTTCCTCTCAAAAAACCTTCGAGGTGAGTTCCTGAAATTTGCTTTTTTGTCTGTATTGTAAATTGTACTGCAGCATTTTTGCAGGGGAATGCTTTTAAAAGTTAAAAAAAAAATATATATACAGACACAGCTTGTAGCACGCATTACAGATGTGAGGAAATCAATATCCAGATGGGGATAAGGTGCCAAAAATAGATTTATTGGTGGTGTCCTTGGCATGGGGTGACCATTTGCACTCTGTGACATGGCTGGGGCTCATCTTACCTGAGATTTGAGATGGTCAGGGAAGGAAGGGGACACTGTTGTCCCTTCTGGGGAGATCCTAAATCTTTAAATTTGGCATGCTGAAATATTTAAAGTTTGCTGGGAGAGTTAAGATTTCAGGAGGGTTTTTCCCACTAAATTTATTTGGCTTTTGAGATAAAATATGGGCTGATGCTGAGTGATAAAGAGAATGCACTTGCTGTTACCAATTCTGGAGGTTACCAGGACTGTTCCTGGAGCCTTGGATCCACTCCCAGAGATTGCAAGGGAGATCATTTTCCCCTTTGCATTCAGCCTGGGAATAAATTTTTTAAGGGAACTCGATGCCTACGCTTTAATCTGAATTTCTGGTGAGCAGGCAGAGCTGGGTGAGCTTTTTGGGAGCGCTCAGGCAGCTCCTGTGGGCTCTGGTGTGAGGATATTTTGCTTTTCTGTGCCCCAGACACGGCAGCATTCTGAGCAGAGAGTCTCCAGCAGACAAGAAGCAGAAGGTTGAACGCTGCAGCAGCACCCACGACTTCGATCCCACAGGTAAAGTCCCAAAATTCAAGGAAAAAAAGCCGAACAAAAGCACTGGGAAGTCGATTAAAAGTGATTTTAATGTGGTTTTCAGAGCTGGGTTGTTCTGCAAAGGCAATGTGGGCACTGAAATGAATGTGGGCTTGATTTTAAACACCCTCATCCTCAACCTGGATTAGTGTATCAGTAAATAATTATAACAACTTCCACTTTCAACAAAGTCAGGAGGCAAAGGCTGTAATTAGCTGTGAGGAGTTCTTTAGTGAAGTCTGAAATTGGAGATGTGGTTGGCCCAGCCAGGGCTGGGTTTCCTTGCTGGGGTTTTAATTTTGGGGGGTTTCTTTTGTTCTTTAGTCTATTTTGATCCCTCTTTACCCCTTGCAAAGTGAATTTCTCCTTCCCAAAGTGATGCATTTGAAGAGAAAAACTTCTTTTTAAAGGATTTGCTGTCCTACTTTGATTTAGCCTGCTTTTATTTTAGTTAAATTAGGGAGATGAGGGTGCACACAGGATTCTTGTTCTCTCTGGAGCACTCCCCCAGTGCCTGCTCATGAAATTCCTGCCAGGCTCCTGTCTGAGCCTCCTGGCCCCATGCAAGGTGTATTTTTCCTGTCTGTGCATTCAGGCTTTTCCCTGGGGCTTGGGGAGCATGGCGGGGGGGAATGGAAGGGTGGCACAAATTTTGGAATGTGGGGTTGTTTATAAACCATCCTGGTAATGGTTTCTGCCACTGGCTGCGTGAGTCCTTCTAGTGTGCACAAAATAAATGAAAAAGGGCGTTAAATGCCCATTTAGTGGGGGGAAAAAAGTGGTTTAGTGCTTGTCTTCTTTTCCTTTGTCCTTTGGGACAGGTAAAATTATTTCAGGTTGGGGGAGCTCTCAGGCTGTCAACTCATTTTGTGGAAGGAATTTAATTTCTCCAGAAGCAAACTTGAGGAATCCTGTAATCTTAATTTGCAGAGAGTCACTCCAGAGTTGAGAGCTGTTACCTGCTTTGATAGGGGAACTCTGCACTGCAGCCTGCAGAAAACCCTTCTCTTTTATTTAAGGGGTGAATTCAGGATGCTGAACTGCTGTGCCTGTGCTGGTTATTGACTCTGGGGAGGAACACTGCCAGAGTCTCCGTGCTTGGACTGGTTTTTATATGTAGTTACTGCAGAGAATTCCTCTGGTCGTGGTCTAGCTCCTGTAACAGATTCTGTGTGCTATTACCTGTGTCTCCCTGTATTATTCACCCTTATTCCAAATGTTCCACCTGTGTTTTGTTCACATCTTATTTGTGTTTTGCACGATTTAACCCGATAAATCCGAGTCTGTGTTTTTTTTCCATGAAGTTTTTTTTTTTTGTATTTTTTTTTCCTCATGTTTGGTCTCCATATTTTCTATATCTCTCTCTCCTTCTCTCCTGCTCTCGTGCAGATAGCTCCTCCAAGAAGACAAAGTCTAGTTCTGAGGAGAGTAGATCCGAGACTTATGGTAAGCCAAAGCTGCAGCCTCCCCCTGGGCAGCTCCTGCTTTTCCTGTCTGTGAATCCCAGGCTTTCCCCCCTCCCCTGATCTGCATGGTCGGCTCTGCAGCAGGGACTGCCCTTCCATCCTGCTTCAGTTCCCAGCTTGTAGTGTCCCAGTGGCTGGAAAATGTTAATTTTGACTCCTGTGGAGGTGTCACGGTTGGGCTGAGCTCCAGTGACCATCTGAGCTGCTCCTCCTGCCAGGTGAGCAGGGCCACCAGGCCAGGGTGGCTGTGCTGCCCTCAGGCCCTGGGGCAGGAGCAGGAACAGGGGTTTGAGGTGTCTGGAAAGGGTTTGATCCACTCAGGCACACACTTTCCTCAGCCTGGAAGTGCTCTGAAGCCCAGGAACAGCCAGAGCTGCCCTTGCATCCTGCGTCAGTTCCCAGCTTGTAGTGTGATGGTGGCTGCAAAATGTTAATTTTGGCACCTGTGGTGGTGTCACTGGGTGCTCCTGGCAGTGAAGGCACAGCTCCTAAAGGGGTTTGTGCTTGTGGAAAAGTCTGGGCCGTATTCTCACTCTTATTAATCTTCCTGCATTGTTTGTAGGTGTTCTCTGTCGGTTCCTTTTGACAGAAATGGAAAAATGTGTCTGTAAATAATTTAAATGAGTGGAAGGATGTGAACTTACTCTCTGTCCCAGAGAGGGGGAGTGACCCTGCGCTCCTGGGCTTGTTGGCTGCAATAAATGGCAGTAACAAGTTTGGGAAGGGAATATCCATCCCCACCCATCCTGGTGCTGTCCCTGCACCACGAGGGGCCTGTGTGCTCCCTCAGCTTTGCCAGTGGGTCAGTCTTGGGGCTGTGGAATCCCCCTGCTCTAGGGACTTATTCCACTTCCAGTCTCTGGAGATATTTGCATTCAGACCTTAGAATCTAGAAGGATTTACAAGTTGTTTTTTGGATCCTATCAGCATCTTCAGCCCCTTGGACTTGGGCTGAATCTGCCTGCACTCCTTATTCCAAGACTTATTTCCATGACTCCAGCCATAGGTTGTCTTTCTTTTCCTTTGCTGTTTTTTTAAATTTATTTAATTCATGTTGAAAGCAGTCTGTGACACTTTCTGATTTTAATCTGTTCAGAAAATTGCTGCTGTGGGATTTTGGATGCAGTGACTCTTCCAGAATCATCAGCTTTATCATTCCACTGGCATAAAACTGCCAGGTGTTCATGGCTGTGCTCCAGCTCCTTAACCCACCTCTGGAATACAAAGTGATGCTGTCAGAGCAAGAAACATTAAAAAAATAACCAAACAACAGCAACCCTGAAGAGTCTAAACCAACACAGGCATGTTAGGAAAAGCTGGTGCAGTCTGGGGAGGTGTGTCCTGTTCTTTCTGTGAGATCTCTTCGTTTCCCCTGGAATTTTGAATCACACACTTGTTTTTTTTTCTTTAAAAAAAAAAAGCAAAGTAATATGATAGTCACGTTCCTCAGGGTGTGAGAGTGTTCCTTCAGGAGCTGTAAACACCTTTGGAGGGTGCCTTGATGGAAACCTGTCTCGGGGAGAGCTGGCTTGCTGCAGCTTGTCATTCCTGCTGCCACCCTCCCAGGGAGCAGCAGGGATTTGGGGCTGAGCTTGTGGGTTTGAAGCCAGTTTAGCCAGGATCACCAGACCCCTGTGCTCATTTTTGCCTGGTGCTGCTTCCCCACAGAGTGCTGGAGGTGCTGTGGGTTAATGACATCTCTTGCTGGGACATCTCTGTGTTTATCCCTCTGCCCCAGCCTGGCAGTGGCCAGAACCAAACAGAACTTCCTCATGTGAGCTCTGACTTCTCAGATACAAACAGAACTTGCTAATGTGAGCTCTGACTTTCAACAAACAGAACTTGCTAATGTGAGCTCTGCCTTCCCAGATACAAACAGAACTTCCCAAGGTGAGCTCTGACTTCCCACAAAGCAACAGAACTTCCTCATGTGAGCTCTGACTTCTCAGATACAAACAGAACTTGCTAATGTGAGTTCTGACTTCCCAGATACAAACAACTTCCTAAGGTGAGCTCTGCTTTCCAACAAACAGAACTTCCTAAGGTGAGCTCTGCCTTCCCAGATAGAAACAGAACTTCCTAAGGTGAGCTCTGACTTCTCAAATACAAACAGAACTTCCCAAGGTGAGCTCTGACTTCCCACAAACAGAACTGCCTAATGTGGGCTCTGCCTTCCCCCAGGTTTCCTGCAGATGCTGTCCCCGTGCCCAGGATCCCTGGGAGCAGCTCCCACTCATCCTTCCTTCCTTCCCAGTGGCCTTGCCCTGCCTTTTGTCTGCTTTTCCCAGGTTTCTCTGGAATGTGTGCAGAGCTCTGCTGTTTGCTTTGGAAGGCACCAAACTATTCCAAACCCTCCAAGTAGAAATACTGTACTGATATTTTCCTCTGTGCTGACTGGATGTGGGCTGGCCAGTGCAAAGGGAATAATAGGGAGGGCTGGAATGACAGCAGGAAGAGGAGGAGTGGCTTTGGTGGGTGTTTGTTCTCACCTCTTGAAATTCTTAATCCAGGAGCCAGAATTTCCTGAAGTGTTCGAGGGCTTGGGGGGCAGAGTGGGTCAGGGATGGAAATTGTTCTGATGTACAGAAATGAGTTGATAGTGACATGAAGCTCTCAGCTCTCTGTTTCATTCATAAACCCAACCATCTCACCTTTGTATATTCAACAAAATTCAGATTATCAGGAGAGAGAATGAGTGTAGTTGGTTATGCTGTAATTTGCTAATTAGTGCCATGACCTCCCATTGTATTAAATATCTTCTTCTCAGTGTAGCATTTTCATCTCTTAAATGAACTGAAAACTGAAATTACCTTTCAGGGTGGTAGGTGAGGCATCAGCTCCTCTTTCCTTTTCCTTACAACTTGGTTACTCTCCAAAAATATCTTCCTTTATGTTTAGCAATCATCAATTTCTGGCCTGAATATTAGCCTGGACTTGACACAAACTCTTTCACATATTTTCTCCAACTTTGTGATAAGTTTTTGGTTCTTGTTTTGAAACTCCAGATTTGAGATGTTTTGAAATTGAAACTTACTCTCCCTGGGGATTTTTTGCAGTCCTTACCAGCTTTGTGTCTTTAAGTTGTGGCCACCATTTCTCCAGAGAAATTTGCCTTTATACAAGTTCTGTTTGTCCTTGTGGAGCAGCATTTCTGACAATATTTTATAGCCAAAAAGCTCCCCAAATGAAGTGAAACATTTGGCCGCTCTCAAAACCCCAAGGGGTTTGGCTTTTTTGTTTATGGAATGATTCATTTCAAATCCCTCTGTTAAACTGCATTTTCCTACGGTGGCCTCATGGCCCCAGGGGAGATTTTAGTTCCCAAATCTCAGCTCCTAGGCTTGGATTGGACTTGGGAGATGGAATTCACATCCCATGGAATCCCAGGCTGCTTTGGGGTGGGAGAATCTTTAAAAATTATTTTGTTCCATGGGCAGGGACACCTTCCACTGGCCCAGGTTGCCCCCAGCCTCGTCCATCCTGGTCTCTCCATCCTCTCAGTCAGTATTTTAGAGTGAACCCTGCTCTGATTGTTGCTAAAGAAATTCCTGTATTGTTAAATAGCTTCCAAATAGGATGTAGGGAAGAGAAAAAGAAAAATGAGCTTCCCAGAGAAGCTGTTGGGCAGCCCAGATGTGCCTGGCCAGGCTGTTTGAGACAATTATTTTGGCCCTGGGGTGTCAGTGACCTTGAGAAGTCCAGACTTTGTCCTTCCACCCTCCCGAAGACGCTCTTGGAGCAGGGCTGGAGAAGGGAGAGGGACGAGTGCCACCTACTGAAGCTCCTCTCAGCTTTCCTTGCAGCTTTTCTCTCTGCTTTCACTTTTAATTTTAACCTCTTCAACTCAGCACAGGTTTGGCCGCTTTCTTGTCCTCCCGACTTGAGTGAGTTTGGGAGAATTTTCATTTCCATGAGGACAGAAAACATTTAAATTTATTGGTTTTCCTCCAGAATTTTAGGACTCCACTCCAAATACAGAGACTGATCTTAAACCATAGTTAAGGGATGTCTCTTCACTTCATAACATAAATATACTGTTAAGGAAAGCAAAAATGGGAATAAGATAATTAGTAATTTTATTTTGAGTACTATCAGTGATGAAATCTGATGACTTTGTAATTATCAGCTGGAAAAAGTGAAATATCATGGGTGGGATATTTCAAAATGAGCAGAGTAAAAGCACTTGAAGGTTGCTTCAGGCAGGGAGTGCTATCAGAGCTGATCCAGTTCTGCAGGTCACAGTGTTATCTCCAGAAAACTTCCAGATAACTTCATTAAAATCACTATAAAGTGTATCTCTGTCAAGTGTGCTATCTCCTCTACCTCATTTCAGCCTTTTATATTGGATTAGGAGAAGGGTTAAGTGTCCCTTATCTGAAGAAAACAAGTACAGGAAAAAGCAATTATGGACTAATTTCAGGTCCAGTTGTCCTAATTCCAGTTGTTTCTCCATTCTAAATTTATAAGGTGGTCTTGGGTGAAATTGAAGCTTGTGGACTGAAAGAGTTTAACTTGAATAAACTTGAATCAAATTCACTTATACTCTGCCAGGTCAGTTTATGTTACGTGGGCACTGCTTTGGCATCAGGAGGAAGTTTATCAGTAAATCCAAGGATTGTTGCTTCTGGAGAAAAAGAAATCCAGTGGCAGAGCAGACTCAGGGCTCTCTGGTCTTTAACCAGGGCCAGTCTTTGTGAGTCCAAAGCTGAGTTTAGTGCCTTGCAGAGGAGCTGTTCCTCTGAAACAGCACCAATTCCCACACCCCAGCCCCGGGCAGCATTCTTGGGAAGTGAGACTTCAAGAAGCTTGGTCATATAAAAGAAGGGGAGGTGCAGGAGGGAGAGGCACTTTCCTCAGCTCTCCCTGTGCTCAGGGGGTGAAAGGTGGGGGGATTTTCCTTCCCATCCACTCCCCAGCCCTGCAAAGCAGGGATCCCGTGCTTTGCTCCTGCTTTGTTGGCAGGAGGGGAATTCCTGGGATGTGATAGTGCTGCAGAAGTCCTGGATTACTTTTTCCACTGCTCCCACACCCATTTTCATCTGTGCCACACTGGAGGAGGGCAGGACTGGCTGGGCAGGCATTGTTGGCTCTTGGGGCTGCTCATTTCCATGGGGAGTTGCTGCAGAGCAGTGAAAGGAGCCCTGGTGGTTTGGGAGCAGTGTGAGACAGGGGAATGACTCCCTGCTCTGGTACCATTCACACCTTAAAGCTCATTCCAGAAAAGCCAGTCTGGCTGGGACAGCATCTGCCCAATTCCCCGTGTTCCCTCCACAGCAAACAAAACTGCTGCAGTTCTGCAGTCGGATTTGGGACAGCTCTGATTCCTTTCTCAAGGTGCCAGTGTAGGAATTTTGCCTGCTGTGCCTTTAGAAATGGAAAAGCAAAGCAAGCTGTTAGAAATAAAGGTGATGGAAAGCATTTCCAGAGTTCCGAAAGTCACTTTTCAGGATGAGGGCTGTGTTTTGGGAGGATTTCTGCAGCTGCTTCTAGGAAAGTGCTTGGCAAGGAATATGCCAGGGCTGCTGCTTGCTTGTGCTTTGTCTTTCCATTGTTCCATTTCCAGGGGAACAAAAGACATCCCCAGCATTCCACCTGGTCCAAATGCTGCACCTACTGAATGAATTTATCTCTGCATTTGTGTTCACATTATGCTGAGTATACCAGGAAACAAAACAAGTTGTCTTTGATGTCTCACAGCAAATTAAAGGAGGGGCACATTCAAACTCATCTCCTGGGATTTTGGCCCTGGACTGGTCTTTATGTCAGAAATCCTGTTCAGGACAGTTAAATGTGGCTTGTACTTCTTCACCTCTGCTGTTCTGGCTCTGTGCAACATTTCACCTGGAGCAGAAGGTGCCCCAGGAGGAGATTTTGGCTGAGAATTGGTAGAACTTTTCCTGATCAATAAATCTGTTTTAACCCAACCCCCTCATATTACTCTGAGGGATTTGTGCTTCTGTTTTAGAGCAGCCTGTAGAAGCTGTGAGGTGTTTCTGAACTATTAATGCAGACAAAATAAATCCTGCTCATTGGTGTGGGTACTGCTGCTCTTCTTTAAAAGCTGCTTTTCCCTCAGGTTGTGTCTGATGTGCCAGAGCTGTCTGCATCTCTGTTTTGTGTAGCTGGAGCAATAAGCTTGACCTGTCTTGACATCCCTCTCCATTTCTGGACTGCTGCCCTGTTCCTGTCTCTCCTCTGTGCCGTGTTGTCCCCATTCCTTTGAGTACTGTGTGATTATCTGGGAGGATAAGGTTTTGGACTGATGCCTGGCTTGTGTCTCTCTGTGTTGCCCTCCCCGTGGTGTCCCTGTGTCCCCAGGCCTGGTGCAGAGGTGTGTGGTGATCCAGCGGGATGAGAACGGCTTCGGGCTGACGGTCAGCGGGGACAACCCCGTCTTCGTGCAGTCTGTCAAGGAAGGTGAGAGCAGCCCCCAAACCTGCCAGCTTGCCATGGCCATCCTGAAAATGGCTGTGAGCTGGAGCAGAAAACTCCCAGACTCCTGCCAGGGTGGGCTGGCTGCAGCTTGGGAAGGGATGTGCAAGGTCAGGGTTGAGCAGTGAATTTATTCCTCTGAATTTTCAGCCACTGACAGAACGAGAGGACACAGCCTTAAGCTGTGCCAGGGGAAGTTCAGGTTGGACACAAGGGAAAAATTCTTCACTGAAGGAGTGATTGGGCACTGGAATCACCTGCCCAGGGAGGGGATGGAGTCACCATCCCTGGAGGTGTTTAAGACAAGACTGGACGTGGCACTCGTGCCATGGTTTAGGTGATGAGGAGGTGTCAGGTCACAGGATGGACTTGGTGATCTCAGAGGTCTTTTCCAGCCTGGTTCATTCTGGGATCTGGTGGGTTTGGAGCTGACCTCTTTGGTCATTCTGTGGTGATCTCAAAGGTCTTTTCCAGCCTGGTTCATTCTGGGATCTGGTGGGTTTGGAGCTGCATCCCAGGGGAGGAAATTACTCCTTGGGACATGGTGGGATCATGTCCTGGTGTATCCACTGCAGGTGAAAGCAAAACTGCTCTAGACTTGACAGCCAGAGATTTTGCTGACAGAGGAACCTGGGCTGAGTGCAGGAGTATTTTGCATGTTTTTCAGAAGTCTTAAAACCATTTTTGCTATAAATGATTGCATTGAAACGGGAACTGAGTGATTTCTTGCCTCTGCAGATGGAGCAGCCATGCGGGCTGGAGTGCAGACAGGTGATAGAATTATCAAGGTAAGGACATTGAAATTGAGAGAGAAATGGGTCCTTTATCTTAAATGAGCTCTTTCTCTAAAAAACCAAAACAAACACTGATGTGTCTGCTGTGGTGTTTGCATTAGGAATGGGCTAAGCTTCAGTGTTCTGGGAATGGCTCTCCTCCAGATCCTCATTTCAGAATTTTATGGACAAGTTCAGCATCCTGCCAGGCTCAAGTATCACAAATACAATAAAACCAGAAATGGCAGGGAAGAGAAGGAAGGCAGAGTTGTTAATAATGATCTGTAAATAAACTGCCTGCCTGAATTGTTGTTTTCCCCCTAACTGCTCCCACATCTGCGTTCTTTTTTAGTCCCAAGCAAGTAAGAAATCAAGTCAGTAACTTAAAAGACTCTGTAAACTATTGCTGCAAAATGCTACAGCAGCTCCTGACACAGATGGAGCTGGGATTTCAACCAGGCATTGAAATTAATGAACTAAATTAGCTACCCTGTTGTTTTTCTGCCCAGGCAGAGATGGATTGCCTTTTTTTTTGTTTGTCTGCCTGCTTGAGTTCTTTTGGTGTGTGCACAGTTTTCTTTCTGCAGAGCTCTGCTCACAGATAAACTGTTAGAAGGATAAATAATTTATCTGGTAATGTCTTGAAAGAGGCAGTAATGGAGATGGGGGAGAAGAAAATGCTGCTGTTCTTCTGGAATGTGTGGAATTGCTTGGAAACAAGGAGCCAAACACTGAATTTTCTCTGCTCCCTGCCAGGTGAACGGGACTCTGGTAACACACTCGAACCATTTGGAGGTGGTCAAGCTGATCAAGTGTAAGTAAAGGCAGGTGGCTCTTGTGTCACCTTGAAAGTGTGACAGGCATCATTTCCAGGGCCCTGCCAAGTGACAGGGGTGAGGCCAGCACTGAGAGATCAGGGGAGTGTGTGAAACAGGGAAGTGAAATCGAAATGATTTTAACATCCTGAATTTAAGCTGATGCCTTCTCCTGTAACTTCTCCTGAATTTAATGTTTGAATTACCACCAAACCTTGCCTGGATGCTTTATTTCCACTTTAAATACCACTTACTGTGCATTGCTGTGTGATGCCTTCACAGCACTATAGGAAATATTTTCCTGGTGGATTTTATTCCGTGAGGAAGGAGGTGCTGGTGGTTTATTTTGTGTGTGCGCACTGCAAATATAACCTGCTGGGCTGGAAGTTGGATTGCTTGCTTTTATAAAGGCTGATTCTCATGAAATTTTATGGAATATCTCAAATTTAAACAGAATTCTAAAGCAGGCAGTGCTCTCAGGCTCAATTTGGAGGAGGAATGGTGTGAGTTGTATCTCCAGGGTGAGGGAAATCAAAGAAGCACAGCAATGTCCCCGTGTGTGTGACCTGTGCCTGTCCTTGTGTCCCCACAGCTGGTTCCTATGTAGCTCTCACTGTCCAGGGGCGCCCTCCAGGGTCACCCCAGATTCCCTTGGCTGATTCTGACGTGGATCTGGCAGCTTTTGGGCATATGTCTCCCATCATGGCATCCCCCCACTCGCCTGGCACGTCAGGGAATGCAGAAAGGATCACCAGCCCAGTGCTCATGGGGGTAAGGCTTGGAGCTCTCTTCCCAAAAGGAGAAATGGAGTCGGGTGGTTTTGGCATGAATTTTAATTTTTTTTTGTACTTCAAATGGGGCATTGGGGTATTTATCCTGTCTGTGGGTATTTGTTCACTTCTGAAAAAGCAAATGGGCATTGGGATATTTATCCTGTCTGTGTGTATTTGTCACTTCTGAAAAAGCATATGCCGTTCTATCTTGCTGGGACAAATAATATAAATAATATTTTTAATATACAAATATATACATATATATTTTTTATATATATATAATATGTATATATGTATATACATGTATGCAAGTAATGTATATATTATTTGTGTGTGTGTGTGTATATATATGTACAAATAATAGTAATACAGGTTTTTGTACTGTATGCAAATAATGTATATATTATTTGTGTGTGTGTATATAAATGTACAAATAATAGAAATACAGGTTTTTGTACTGGTTTTATACAAAATTTTTATACAAAATTAAGAAAGAATACATAGTATAGGGTTGAAAATTTGAATTACTGTACAAATAATAGTAATACAGGTTTTTGTACTGGTTTTATACAAAATTTTTATACAAAATTAAGAAAGAATACATAGTATAGGGTTGAAAATTTGAATTACTTCTCACAGGGCTTTTCAGAGCCTATTTTTAGGAAGTAAGTGAAAAATGTGCATGTCCATTTTCCTTATCTGCCAAACAAACCCAACATTAATCTCTCTGTTCTTCCTAGGAGGAGAATAACATTGTCCACAACCAGAAGGTGGAGATTCTGAGGAAGATGCTCCAGAAGGAGCAGGAGAGGCTGCAGGTACTGGAGCTGTGCAGCTTGGAGAGAGCTGGGGGAAGTGATGCAAAGAGGGGTCGTTAATTTAATTTATTGGCAGAGCTGTGTAAAACAGACTTTGTGTAGCAGCTCCTTGGGTGTGCAGATGTGCAGGTGTTCATTTAAAAGACACAAACAAATCTTTTGCAGGTCCTGCAGGAGGAGTACAGCAGGACTCCCTCCACCCGCCTGCTCAAGGAGATCCAGGAGGCAAAGAAACACATTCCTCAGCTGCAGGAGCAGCTGTCCAAGGCCACGGGCTGCACCCAGGTAACCCGGGCTCAGCCTGCTCTGGGGAGTGCCCAGGCACAATCCAGGGGGGTGATGGTGTTCTGGCTGATGCCTCAGCGTTTAGCTTTTGTATTTTTCAGATTCTGTGCTGCTTTAGTGTGTGGGTCTGGGTTCACATCAGGGGATGGGGAGCTCTCTGCACAGAGCAGGGACACAAAACAATTCCTGCTCCAGCTGGGCACCAAGGACAAATGATCCAAATCTCAGCCCAAGAGCACAAACCCCGTGGGCTGGAGAGAGAAAAACAAGCAGGATGGGAGTGCAGGGGCTGAGCTGGAATTGGACACTGAACTGCAATGTGCACATGGAGCAGAGCTGATCCCAGGGAGAGACCCTGTGAGCGCTCGAGCACTTTGGGACCATTTGGGTTCACCTTGGGTTCCTTTTGGGACCATTTGGGTTCATCTTGGGTTCCTTTTGGGACCATTTTGGTTCATCCTGGGTGCAGCCCTGGCTGGGCTCTTGTGCTGCCCAAGGTGCATCCATGGAGGAGATCCTTTTAATAAATCCCTGCTTTATTCTTTAGCTCTGTGCAGCCTCTGCTCTAGCTCAGCCTTCCCAAGGCATCCTGGGCAGGCTGCACCCTCTGCAGCTGAGATTGGAAGTTGGCACTGTCATCTTAATCAGGATGTGGAGTACATTTTACAGTGGGCTCTCTTCTCTGAAATCCTGCTTTTAAGAACGAGTGCAAACAATGATGTGTTTATTATCTGTCAGTGCAACTTAAAATACACCCCTGAAGTCATTCTTGGAAGCTTTAAACAATTTTGTTTTCACTTTTGAAAAGAAATTAATTTAGGCTGTGTCATTTTTCCCTTTTCCCCTATGTTAAAAGTGCTGAAAATTTGGTGTGGTTGTTTTATCTTAGAAAAGAACTGCAGCCTTTTCTAGATAAATGAAGGTTTTATGAGTAATGTGAGCTGCTGGCTTTTGAAGGAGTTGATTTTTAAGGATAGTCTTTTGAAATATTCTGCTTTCATCTTTGCAGGATGGAGTCCTGTCCTCCAGGTCTGTGTCGGAGTCGCTGCAGATCAGCGAGGGGGAGGCAGAGAGTGGGGACAGTGGCAGCAAACTGGATTTCAGTGGTGACAGCCCCTCCAGACCCAACAGTGACATTGCTGATGTGAGTTTGGGGCAGCCCCAGGGCTTTGCTTCTCTCTCTCTTGCATTTGGGTTTCCTTGGCAGATTCTGTGTGTGTGCTGTCCCGTGCTTTCCTGGAACAAGCTCCTCAGTGCTCACCAAAACCTTTCCCTTTGAAAACCTGGTTTACTGGACTGCTGTTAGAGACTGGGAGAGAATAAATTTGGGGGTTTTATCCAGGATTAGATTGTCCTGGCGTTAATCCCTGTAACCAGACAAAGATGGATGCCAGCATGTTTCTCTAAACCCCTTTACCAGTTAGAGCATCTTTGAAGGGAATATTCCAACTGCAGCACCGTGACTCAGATCCAGGCAGCTTGCCCTGAGAGTGGGAAAGAGCCTTCCTTCTCCCAAATCAGCTTCAGTTCCTGCCTCCAGCAAAGGCTTTTGGTGTGCTCACTCATGATTTATCAATCTGTGTGCTCCTGTGCTCTCCCTTGGTGCTTCATCCTTAATTAAGGCACTATCTGATTAGTGCAGAGGAATTGAGACTCCCTGCTTGGATTTGGCCTAAGTTTGTTGATTAACTTAAGGATGTGGGAGCTAAATTTGTCCCAGCAGTTGGAAGTGAAAAGGAGCTGGGTGAGATGGGAGCATCCACAACTCTGTTTTGAAACATTCCAAACCTGACCAGATCCCACTCAGTGTTTGTGTTTAATAAATGCACAACAAAATCCGTAATTATCTTCCTAATAATCATCACTGTCAGTATTGGGGGTGGTATTTGATCAGTGCAGGTGATTGGCACACCAAACATTCCAGCCTTTAATCCAGCTCTGAGAAACTTAAGGAGCAGGGGTGAAAGAAACCTTTGGAAGTGGAAAGAGTTCTGCAGCTGGGAAAAAGCCAGGCTGGAAAGCAGCAGCCTGAGCAGTGGCCTGGCTGGAAAAACCTTTGGACACACTGAAGATGAGGCAGCAGCACGTGGGTTTTGCAAATAAGGCTCTGCTGGGCTTCCTGAGCAAGAGGATTGCTGGCAGATGGGAGAAGAGAGCTGAACTGTGAGGAAAGGTGGAGAGAGCAAGGAAAAAGCCAAGGGCTGGGGATTTTACAGCTCTGCTGTTGGTCACTGTCACCAGATTTCTGACCAAAACTTCTGCATTCATTTGAGTTTTGGGGGTATTTTGTTTTACTGTGCACGTAGGACACAGATTTGACTCTGGTTTTTCACACCTCCTTTTCCTGTGAGAAAGGAGAAGTTTTTGGCTGTTGTGGCTGACAAACTGCCCTGTGCAGTTCTCCCTTCCCTGGATCTGCTGGTACTTACCAGAACTGAACTTCCCTCTTTCCCAGAGCCCTCGCAGTGGCCTGAAGGAGAGGATTTATCCAGATGAGAGCCCAGAAAAGGCTGAGCTTCAAGACACTGTGAGTACAAAACATCAAGTGTCACAACAGATCTCCTCTAGTAGGCCCATTAAAATCTTGCTGCTTTCCCCCACTTTCTAAATGGAGCATGCCTGAACTTTGCTTTAGAAAATAAAATGCAATTAAAGCAGTGCAGGGAAATTTAATTAGCTGAGTAAATGTTTATGGAGCTTAAGAGCAGGGCCATTTAGAGGTGAGAAATACCTGATCAGCAGTGAAACAGCTGGGCCTGGAACAAGGAGAGCAGTTGCAAATGTTTTATTCCTTGAGTCCAGCCCTTTTTTTTAGGATATTCCCTCATTTGGGGGCTGCCATTTCAAGTGGAGCTCAGGAGGAAGTGCAGAGCTGTCTGAACACATCATCATCATCCTTGGGATGACTCCTGGATTCTCCTTGCCCTCCTCCCAAAGCCACATTTCCCCCTGTGCAGGGATGGCATTGAGCACGTGCCAGGTGTGCTCCTGGCTGCAGCTGCTCTTGATGCACCTCATCTGATGTTTGGGAACGTTTGGATTTTGGGAGGGGGATCCGAGGTGGAGTTTTTGAAGAGTTAAAATGATCAGGGCATCTCTGAGTTTTCCTGTGAGGGACAATCCCAAGGTTGTGCTTTTCTCCTTGTCTCCCCCAGGACTCCCAGTCCAGTGTTGGAAGTCCCCTGGCCCGAGTGGGGACTCAGATCATTGGAGCAGAGGATGATGATTTTGACACGGAGCAGGAGCAGGTGGGAATGACTTTCAGCCTTTTTTCCCCACCAACCACAATTCTCTTCCTCTGTTCCTAAACTGCTGAGTACTCCTTGTATGGTGAAATAAGAATTTGGGAATTCATGTTGTTGCTGATCTTTCCAAATAGAAATATTTGGGGAATTTATGACAATATCCATCTTTGAGTCTGTTATCCAAACCTCAATTTATTATCTATTTATTTATTTAAATTATATAAAAATAAATGATATAATTTTATAAATAATTATAAATTTATTTATTTATAATCGATTTAATTTTCTTTAGTTTTGTATTAAATCCTGCATTCTTGTCACAGCAGCACAGCTACCACCTATGTACTCTGAATTATTTTAGCTGTCCTTTCTCTTATTCCTGACTAACTCAGATGTAATTCCCTGTCCCCTGCAGATCAATGGGCAGTGCAGCTGCTTCCAGAACATCGAGCTCCTGAAATCCCGGCCGGCTCACCTGGCTGTCCTCCTGCACCACGTGGTGTCCCAGTTTGATCCTGCAGCACTGGTGAGAAGCTCTGGAATTGTTTCCCTGGCTCACATTTTGGGGATCTTCATCAGAATTTAGCAGATCTTGTGTAGCACTCACTGCCATGCCCTGGCAAGGAGGGAAATGCAGACCCTGTGCAGGCCTGAGGGTGATAAATCCACATTTATTTCCTCAGGTAAAGGGAGAAACACAAAGAGAATTGTTCCCTTTATGTTTGGCTGCTTACAAATAATTAGTTATCTCCTGAAAGCCTCTAATTCCACCTCAAGGTGTGGGATCAGTTGTCTACAGGGAAGCTTTGACCTCTCTGTGCTCCTCTTCCAGCCCCTTCCCTCTCCCCCCATTGCCAGGGCACCTCCCCAGGAGCTGGGAAAGCTTTCAACCTAGCACTGCTGAATTCCTTGAAATACTGCAAAGAAAACTTGGAGTTTTCATGGTTTTCACCTCATTTTTTGCCCTCCTGTTCCCCACAGCTGTGCTACCTTTACACAGACCTGTACAAACAGACCAACTCCAAAGAGACCCGGCGTGTTTTCCTGGAGTTTTACCAGTTTTTCCTGGACAGAGCTGCAGTAGGTTCCTCTTGTTTTCCTCATTTTTACACATCCAGCAAGTTGACTTTGACCTATCTCCACTCACCTGAACTGTGAAAAACTAAGGGGGTTAAAGCCCTCCAAAAGAAGCAGTTTAAAAAATCAAAATTGGAATATTGTTTAATAAATAACTTCATAAAATGTAAAAATGTAATAAAAGGTTTAAGTATTTTTGTTGAAATGTTACCAGGGAATGAATGGCCTCAGATGCCTGGTAACAAAGTAAATCCCAGGGGATTTGTTGTTGATAGGAGAAATAATTTAATGGTAGGTAAGCAAGTTCTGGCTCTTCTACGTTGCTTTTTAGTTAATAATTGCTGTGGGTATTGATGTGGCTGTTCCAGGGATTGGGAAATTTTATATCTCTGTTGGAAAGCTGAGAAAATTCTTTGTTGTCATAAATTAAACTCCCAGAAACTGCAGCAGAGCTTTATGTACCACATGTTCACCTTAAATAATCCTGTGAATGATAATATATTCATGGGAGTCTCCCCTTTTCAATCCAGCAGGTGCTCAGGTTGGATGATTTTGGCTTTTGAGGGAATTTCCTGGAGTGATTTGTGTGTTTTATTGGGGTGCTGGTTTCTCTGTGGGTTCTCCCAGCCTTTCTTTCCTTTTGCAGAACCTGAAAGTCCCAGTTCCAGAGGAAATCTCCTTGGAATTAGGTAGGGTGGGAGTGAAGGGCAGAGGGTGGGTTAATTCAGGGAAATGACTTTATTGAAGTCATTTATTGAAGGTGGGGACTGTTCCCAAAGGAATCATTGGTGAATTTTCTGCCTCAGACAGGAGAAGGCCAGAGCTCCTCCCTGAGGAGCTGCACCGCCAGTTCATCCAAACCATGCAGGATAAAGTCTGCCCAGAGGTTCAGAGGAACCTGGAAGATTTCAGGTACCAAAAGCTCTCAGTGGAGTTTCCTTTTCATTCATATTTGATTTCAGTCAGCGTTCCAGCACAAGGAAACCTGAGGGAGATAAAATTCCTCTTGGCTGGATAGGAATATACCAGGAATACACCCTGTGGCCAATCCTTAAATCAAGTCATCAGCTGCAATCCTAGAGCTTGGATTCTTCATTCCTGGAAGCTGTGTGAGGAAATGTCAGAGTATTTTTTCGTAGGTTTTGTTGTATAAATCTCTCTTACTGGTTGTGTTTATAATCAGCTTATATATTTTTTTTCCTGTCCCTATTTTCCTTCCCTCTCCCCTTTGGGCAGGGAATAATCCCCTTTACAGAGCTCAAGCTGGGCCAAGGGAAATACAGGTTGAATATTAGGAAGAAGTTTTTCCCAGAAAGGTGATAAAGTTCTGGAATGTTCTGCCTGGGGAGGTGGTGCAGTCACCATCCCTGGGTGTGTTTAACAAAGCCTGGATGTGGCACTGGGTGCCAGGGTTTAGTTGAGGTGCTGGGGTGTTGTTGCAACAGGTCAGGACTGGGTAATAACTGGTATAGACTTCATGCATTTATAGAAGGTTAATAATACTTTATTAAGAGACCCATAGTTTTTTATACCTTAGTTTGCTATAGGTGGATTTGATGGGTCCTTTAATTAAAACACCATCACCACTGGCTAATTAAGAAACTTTGGCAAACAGATCTCTATAACACATTCTACAAGTTCAAAATAACAGGTGCAGCAAGCTAAGATAAGAATTGTTTCTTATTCTTTTCCCTGATTTTCTCACAGCCTTTCCCAGAGCAATGCCTGGGAAAGTTGTGTCACCAGAGAGCTGCTGACAGCTGGGGCTGGGTTGGACTTGGTGATCTTGAAGGTCTCCTCCAACCTGGTGGTTCTGTGAATTCTGTGATTCTGTGAGCTCTCACAGGCATGGAGTAGAAGTTGATAATTAATTTGCTTTTTCCTGTGCTAAGAGCTCCATGCCAAGCTCAGCAACGAACTATTTTATACCTAAAAACCTCATGTAGATCCTTCAAACACCCCAAAAGCCCCTCTGTGATGACACCCTGAGTGCCACAGGGCAATTCCCAGCTGCAGGTGATGCTCCCTGTGCCCTGTTGCAGGCAGAAGAGGAGCATGGGGCTCACCCTGGCCGAGGGGGAGCTGAGCAGGCTGGACGCAGAGCGGCTCCGCGACCGCAACGCCGTGGAGAAGGAGAGGAGCTGTGCAGAGCAGATCCTGGCCAAAATCGAGGAGGTCCTGTAAGTGACACCAAATAGGAAGGTGGGGGGGAAAAAATAACCTTAAAGGTGCTGCCTCAGACGTGGGAAAAGCGGGATGGAGGAATTGGAGGGTGGGATTTGGTGTCAGTGTGTGTGGATTGATGCCCCTGGGTGTTGGTTGGGGTGGTGACAGCAGGGCTGAGGCGGGAGGGAAGGGAAGGCTGTTTTGTCCAGGAGGCTGCTGTGAAATAGTGCAGGGACTGCTGCCATTGTCAGCCTGTGCATTATTAGATCAGAGCCCTTTTCCTGTAGAAACAACAGCTTCACAACCCATTTTCTCCTTTTTAATGCGGGCTGAATCCAATTTCCACAGCTAAACCTTCACTTTTGATTCTTGATTTTATTTTTTTTCCCCCTGCTGGGAGTGCTGAACATTCTAAAGGACACTTCAACACAACTACTGATGCTCTGGGTGGATGGGACCGGGTGTTAATTGGGTTTTGAGTTTCATTTGAAAACCCTTTCTTGTTTTTAGGATGACATCTCAGCCTCTGGAAGAAGACAAGAGGTAATGGGAGCTGGGCAGCTCGGGCTGTGTTGTGCTGATGGAACACGACAGCCCTCTCCCGGCTGTTCTCCAAACTCCTGAATCCCCTGGCACAAATCATTGGAATTCAGAGCACCAGCCTCTTCTTTGCTGATGTTTGTTGCCTGTGTTTCACATCTTAAAAATTACTGTCACTGAGAGTTTGTGTTTATTTTTGTTTTGTGTTGTAACTGCTTCAATCTGCTCTAACATTTATTTTCTGTGCGTGCCTTGTCCTGTTCAGTTTTTATCTGAGCAGCTTTTCCTCTGCTTTTTGCAGTCACCTTTTACTGCTGCTTATTTCTACCATAACTCAAAGCTATAATGTGACATCAAATGTGGTTTTAGTGTAGAATTTTAGGACCTTCTGTGTAATTCTCAAATTGTATTTTCACCTGCTGGGCTTCTGTGCCTTTTATCATGGAATGATTTGGGTTGGAAGGGGCCTTAAAGATGAATTAATTCCAATTCTTGCCATGGGCAGGGACACCTTCCACTGTCCCAGGTGCTCCAGCCTGGCCTTGGACACTTCCAGGGATCCAGGGGCAGCCACAGCTTCTCTGGGCACCCTGTGCCAGAGCTTCCCCATCCATATATTCCATCTTTATTTACTCCATAATTTACAAAACAATAAATTCGATGTTGCCTGAACCTCCCCATTATCTGTGGGAATTTATTTCCGTTCATTTCATCACTTGAATTTAAAAATGAACTTCTCAACAGAACCTTGGCACTTGACCTTAATTTTATTGACTCAGTGTATTTTCCCACTATCTTTTTCCTAAACCTCCCTGGTTTTTTTCTGTGTTTGGCAGCTCCACGATGCAATATGTGATCCTCACCTACATGAAACACCTGGGAGTGAAAGTCAAAGAGCCTCGGAACCTGGAGCAGAAGCGGGGCCGCATTGGTTTCCTGCCAAAGATCAAGGTAGTGCTGCCCTGGCCACAGAGGGTTTGTGTGCCATTCAAACCCCAGTTTCGCAGGAAAAAAATTAAAAATGGGTGTGATTTTTATGTTTCTGGGATTGCTGAGCTGCACAGCAAACCTAAGAGCTGAAATTGGGTTCTGCATCTGTTGGCAGAGGCGTGAATTTGAAATAATTGGAATTATTTCCTTTATCTCTACCCCTGAATTCACCTTGTTTTTGGCTGTTATTAAAACTTCGGGGGAGGAATATTTCAGAGAACACAACCTTAAACCACAGGAGAGTCTCATTAAAGCTGTTGCCTTGTTTACTTCAAGTTTTGCTGGAGAAACTTACTCAAACCCTCCTGGTTTGTGATGCAGGAGAGCTCCTCTCCCTGCCACCCCCACTTTTCCAGTTATATAATGAATATTTCCACCAAAACTTCATCCCTGTGGGTGTGATCCCTTGTCTCCCACAGCATGAGGGTGTATCTGGTCACAGTAGTTACTTATTTTCATCAACATTTCAGCTTCCTTTGAAATATTAAGAGAGTTTCAAGCAGTTCTGCACTAACCAAAAAGGTGAAACAGTGTGAAACCAAAAAGGTGAAACAGTGTGAAACCTTTTAGAAGCTTTGTGTCCTCTCCCTTCTGCAGCTTTGAAGAACTGATTAAAATCTCAGCAAACAGCTGGATTTGAAGCAGTGAGCGATGAGTTTGCTTTTCTTTTCCTGCAGCAAAGCATCAAGAAAGAGAAAGAAGGAGAGGAGAAAGGGAAGAGGAGAGGCTTCCCCAACATTCTGGGCCCCCCGAGGAGACCGAGCCGACACGACAGCAGTGCAAGTATGTCAGCCAGGAACCCCCTGCTAGCCTGGGAGCCACGGAACATCCCTGCTGCCTTCCAAAATCCATGCCAGGAACCCTATTTGCCCCCCTAAACCTCATCCCACCCATCCTGCCTCACCCAGTCCCAGTCCTCCCAGTTTGGACCCTGCTTCTGCCAATTCCCTCCCAACCCTGTCTCACTTGGAGGGGTTGTGGAATAGAATTTTGGGCTGGGATTGAGGCATTTTGGGGAAGGATTGAGGGATTTTCAGCAGGATTGAGTGATTTTCAGCAGGATTGAGTGATTTGCAGTAGGATTGAGTGATTTGCCTTAGGATTGAGTGATTTTCAGTAGGATTGAGTGATTTTCAGTAGAATTGACTGATGTTCAGTAGGATTGAGTGATGTTCAGTAGGATTGATTGATTTTAAACTTCTTCTTGTTAAAATCCAGCTTCGAAAACACACAAACCTGTTTTGGTCCTGCGATGCTGCTTCTCTCAGCACTGAAAAGGTGGTTTCAGCAGGGTGATGATTCTTTTTGGTCCAGTTGGCAGGGCCATGGAGATGCAGAAGCCCAGGCACCCCAAGCACTCACCCACAGCCTCTTCTGTGAGCCCAGAGCCCCCCGAGTCCAGCAAGATGCGCCAGAGCGGCTCCTCCAGCGATGGCACAGATGCCCCTTACCCCCCTGCCAACCCCATGTCCCCCCTGGCCATGGGGCCCTTTGCCTCTCCAGAGGGCAGCAAGGACAGTGACACAGGTAGGGTGGAATGGAGAGTGGTTAAAGGTCGTGCTGTGAACCGGATGTGCAGAGCACTGATGCAACGAGCTGGGCTAATTAGGCAATGCTTTGATGTCATTGGAGCTGCTCTTCCTCACCTTAATCAGCTTTCCTCAATTAGGGAATCGTGCCACGAGCAGCAGTGGTTGTTAGTGGGTTCTGCCAGTGTGGCATTGGATCATCCAACAGGAAAAACCCAACGGGTGCCACCTGAAGCTTTTGTCACTGAGATTTGTTCTTACCACCCTGGGAATCGAGTTCCTCCAGCTCTGAAGCTGGAATTGAGGCTCTGGAGAGGCTGGGAGGTTCTCTGATGTCCTCTAACTTGGTTCCTCACCTTTCACATTTATCCTGTGTCCAGGTGTGAAGCAGCCTGGGGAAGCCCCACCTGCCAGTGACTCCATGGATGGCACCCCTCGTACACCCAACAACACCTTTGAGTTCCCATCTCCTTTGGAAAACCTGCAGGAGGAGGAGGGAGAGTCTGAGAGGTAACGCTGGCTGCTTGAGGGAGCCTTGAGAGAGAGTCAGGAAAGCTTGGAATGGGTTGGAAAAGATCTTTGTAGAGTGATCTTTGTCAGTGTGACAGTGGCTGCTGAAATTTAGTGCATAAAATGACAGTGACATTGCTTGTGTTAAATATTGTTGGGAGAATTAGGAAACTTTGGTCTGTGTCTCTGCTCTGCTAGAAAACTGTCAGGAGAGGGTGTAGAATACTCTGCTTTGGAGCTCAGACCACCATTCTGAAATCATTCTGGGCAGAGAGAAATTCAGGCACAAGCTTCCTAATGATTGCTTTCCTTCCTTGCAGGATGGTTGACATGGGAACACCGAAGCCTTTTCGCAAGTGAGTGTGCTTGGAAATGTTTGAACTTGACTGAATTTGTTTGGATTTCAAATGGTTATGAAGCAGAATGCAGCAGTGCTCTTTGTTCTGAGGCAGCCCAGTTGTCTGCATGATCCCTTTTCTTTAAGAACACATGAAATCAGACACTGGCAGCTATTTGTAGGGCAGGTGGCGTGAGTCATATGCAAAAATACCCCTTTGATCTGTGAGTGAAGTGGAATGATTGCTGTATCCACTGATTTGAGTGGATGGGAGTTGGGTTAGGGAGTAGAGAGATCCCTATTTTCCTTTCCAACCTGGGTTGCTGTTGGTTCTGTACCTGCAGATAGACAGAGGCAAGAAACTGTAACCTGCCCTTTTCACTGCCTTGATATCTGACTGCACATGATTTGATCTGTGTCGTTAAAAGGAGGGTTATGAAAACACTGTCAGAACAGTCAGTCTGTAAAGGGCAAAATTAGAGAATGTGCCCAGAGGTTCAGGCATCCAACAGCCCCCAGCTGGCAGGGACAGTGTATTCATAAAGCTGATTGATGTACTCAGCTTTTCCCTGGAACGGGAATTAACTCTCTCTTTTTCTCCTCCCATCAGGATGGACAGTGTTGGCTTTGCAGATGTGCAGAGTGAGGATGAGCTCTATGACTTCGACATGGACATGGACCCTCCCAACTGGCAGCAGCTTGTGAGCAGGGAGGTGCTGATGGGGCTGCAACCCTACGAAATCAAACGTCAGGAGGTGATAAATGGTGAGATGGAGGTTCTGTCCTACCTGGCCAAGCTCAGAGCTGAAACCTTCCCCGAGAGCTTTGAAGTTCTTAAAAAATTTACAATTAGGTTTTTCTTTACTGATTTTGTGAAGTAGTGGCTGGAGAATTGTAGAACTTTTGGTTTGAAGAGTTCTTTGCTGTGAAACCTGTGCTTGTTACTGGGAAGTAACCTGAGGTGAGATTGATCCAGTCCTTAGAGGAGAAATAAACAATACCAAGTGATTATTAAATATTAAGGCACTGAAAGGCCAAGTTTTTAATATGTTCTGTAAAAGAAAACAAGAAAAGCTTGGTTTTTTGGGAAGCAGGTGATGGAAATGCTGCTCCCAAACTTCAGCAGGTTTGAGCTGCAGCTCCTGCGTGGATTCGTGAGCTCAGATCTCTTGGTTTGGGGTAAATGGTGGAATTTCACAAACAATTCAAACATGGAATTACAGCAGAGCCTGGAATATGAACCAGGGGGGGAAATGCTGCTGAGGGACCTGCCCTGAGGGGCTGCAATCCTGCTGTCCCTGTCTCCCCAGAGCTGTTCTACACGGAGCGAGCCCACGTGCGCACGCTGAAGGTCCTGCACAACGTCTTCTACCAGAGGGTCACCAGGGAGGGCATCCTCAGCTCCAGTGACAAGCGGAAAATCTTCTCCAACCTGGAGGACATCCTTGGGCTGCATGGTAGGAGCAGCTGGATGCTGGAATTTGGGATTCCAGTGGCTGAAAAATTGAAGCAAAGGGACCCTGGAACACCAGGCAGCTTCACCCAACACTTGAGATGGAGCAGAATTCTTCAGGACACTGCCCTGGGCTTGCTTTTGCTCACACTTGTTCCATTTCTGATTCACAAAGATATTTTGATAAGGAATCATGTGTCCAGTGTTCCTTTTCCTTATCTGTGTTGATTCATGCTTGATAAAAGGAGCAGTGAGCTTTATGGGCCAGGGTTTGAGGTGGTAGAACTGTTCCTGAGGAGAGCAGAAAACAGATTTATGAAGATTGATTTTTTTGTTTCTGAAGGGTTGCCCTTCCTCGTTGTTTAGGGAAAGGACTGCTCACAATAGGAATTTCAGCCACTGAATCATCAGCTGTGTGGTTTTCTGGCTTCTGCATTATTCCTGTTTATAGAAAAATTATATTGAGCCTCAGAAAAGATGAGTTTGGAATGGTTCTTAGGGGTCCTTTGAAGCCAAGTGAGACACAAGCATAAAGGAGTTACATCACATTTTATTAGATATCCTAAATTTATTAAGTTGCAGAATGTTGTTTATTGGCTAATTAAAATTATATCAAATCTAATCTTCTCCTAGAACAGCTTTTATGTTAAATGCTGAAAATGAAGCCAGCAATTTGACCACCATTAATAAAATTTGCCTTTTTTCCCTTGTTTTTTAGTTGCACTGAACGATCAGATGAAATCTGTCCGAAAAAGGAACGAGACTTCTGTCATTGGCCAAATTGGGGAAGATTTGCTCTCCTGGGTAAAATTCTTTTAATATTTCTTCTATTTCGAAATAATGTGTCATGGAATGACCAGTAGAGCCAGAGGTTGGAGGAGGTAATTCCCAGCAATGGGAACTGAAGGGCTGCGAGTTCTGGAGCCAAAACAGAGCTGGAGGATGAGGGGGGAAGGAAAGCAGGAAGAACTCAGAGGATTTTCATCTGACTGGAGATGAGAGTCATTTAAGGCACAAGAATAATATCCTTAAGATGTGTGGGTAGAATAGAAAGGTACTTTGAGTACATAAAGGTGAGAGTGGGATTTTGAAAAATGTAGTGGCACGATTTATTTTGGTAACATTGAAGTGTGAGCCTGGTGTTGCCTGCGGTGCAGTTAAAAGGTGGTTAGAAATACTGATTTCTAATCTTAGAGTGTATAAATTTGGAGTTTATAGTGCTGCTGCAGGCTTTGCTTTTGAGATCTTTATGGAGAGATTTGGCTGCCCCATCCCTGGAAGTCTTCAAGGATGTTTTGGGGTAGTGGAAAGTGTCCCTGCCCATGATGGGGATGAGCTTTCAAATCCCTTTCAACCCAAACCAGTTTGGGATTCTGTGATGTGGGAGGGCTGCATTCAGGAGAACTGAAGAGTTTGAGATGTAAAGGTCTCCTCTGGGAAGACAAAGCCTTAACCCAGGGCAGAAATGCCTCCTCATTTTTGTCAATAACTCCTATGTTCCCTGGTGATCCCAGTCCCATGTAGCTCTGCCTGCTGAGGGTGCCTCGTGTTGAGCTCCAGCCTGTCTAAACTTGGCTTTTTTGGCTTTCTGGCACAGTTTAGTGGACCAGCAGAGGAGAAGCTGAAACTTGCCACTGCCACCTTCTGCAGCAACCAGCCCTTTGCCCTCGAGGTCATCAAGTCCCGCCAGAAGAAGGACTCGCGCTTCCAGACCTTCGTGCAGGTGGGTTTGCCACAGGGCTTGGAGTTTTCTCTGCCAGGCTTTGAATTTTCTCCTCCAGGCCTTGAGTTTTTCACCAGGCTTTGAGTTTTCTCCTCCAGGCCTTGAGTTTTTCACCAGGCTTTGAGTTTTCTCTTCCAGGCCTTGGGTTTTTCACCGAACTCTTGAGTTTTTTCCCCTAAGCTCTCAGTTTCTCCACCAGGCTTTTGAGTTTTCTCCACCGGGCTTGTGAGCTTCTCCTTTAGGCTTTGAGTTGTCTTCACCAAGCTTTGAGTTTCTCCACCAGGCTTTGAGTTTCTCCACCAGGCTTTTGAGGTTTTTCCCCCTAAGCTCTGAGATTTTTCCCCTAAGCTCTCAGTTTCTCCACCAGGCTTTGGAGTTTTCTCCACCAGGCTTTTAAGTTGCTTCAGCACAGCCCAATGAATCCTCCTAGATAAAGTTCTGATAATTAATGACATTAATTAATGACGTCATGGCTAAGGCTGCCTTCAGCTGGGGACATGTCCAGCACTGTATTTATCTCTCCTGATGGTTTCTGGAGGGAGGAGCCTTCAGTTCTGGGGAGCACTGAGTGTCCTGATGGAATGCAGGGCAGCACAGTGTCCCAGGCAGGAGTGTCCCATCTCCCTCAAGGGTGCCAAATTCTGTGGGGAAGAGTGCTCAGAGTGCCAGGAGCAGGAGACAGATGCTGCACAGCTGCTCTGCCTGCCAGGAGTGGGCTTTGGGTCCACGTGGCATTTGCAGGAGAGCATCATCTCCATCAGCACAGGCTGGGAGGAGCTCTGGGAGTACAGGGGGAGATTTGACAAATATCCTGTGTTTTGCTGCGGTGTGAAAGCCCAAACTGATGGGTTCCCTGGGAGCTGCTGACTGAGATGGATTGGGGATGGGCCCATGCCCATGGGGAGTAATGAGGGGAGGAAGGCACTGCTGCTGTGATGAGCTTTTCCTCTGGGTAATTGCAGATGGAGAGGGGATGTGTTGTCTGGGTGATAGATCTTGGCATCTCTTGTCTTGTATTTAATTACTGGAAAGTGAAGTAATAGATGTTTAAGTGATGAATAGATGTTGTGCATTCAGGTAATTATGGCCTTAATAAAAATGACAAATGCAGATATTGTGCTGTTGAAATTTAGGACGCTGAGAGCAATCCCCTGTGCCGGCGGCTGCAGCTGAAGGATATCATCCCCACGGAGATGCAGAGGTTGACTAAATACCCCCTTCTGCTGGATAACATTGCTAAATACACAGGTAAAGCCTTGCCACTGGGATTTGGGCACCCATCTCAGCAGGTTTTTTAGGTAAATGTGTTAAATAACACTTCAGTTTTATGTGTCTCTGTTTTCATTGCGACCTCACTGCTGCTGTCTGCACGGGAGGTGTAAAAAATAATAATAATAAAAAGAAAAATCCAGTGTTAGTGCCTCCTTAGGAAAATAAAAAGGAAATTCAGTGTGAAATAAGTGAATCTGTCAAACCTCTAAAGCAGCACAGAACGTCCTCATGCTCTTGCAGAGGGTGGGGTTTAATTAGGATGTGTTACACTGAAAGATACTTCCAGCACAACAGGTAAAAATGTGATAAATAATAGCACAAAATGCCTTCCCAGCTTTACTATCTGATACCTGCTGCAGGGTAATTTCATTACTCATAAAAATAGACTGCAGCTACAAGTTCCCTCTAATCCTAATTAGGAAAGCATGTGATACTCCATTATCTTTGATGTACTGGTTGATGTTCCTGTTAAGTGAATTCTCTGTGTGGCTGCTGGTGAGAATTGATGGGTTCACCTGTGCCTGTACTCTTAGTAAGGATTTTAGTAGGGATTTTAGGTTTCCCACATTATTGTGAGTTGTCACAAGGCCCTAAAAAAGGGAGAGTAACAATTGCATTGTGTGTAATGATGTGCAGGTCACAATCAATTCTCTGCTGTCACAAATCTCGTTTTTATCACTGTTGCATTGCCTTTGTTGATGACTTCTCTGTGAGTTTAACTCCTCTTTGTCCAGTTTGAGGTCAGCACACTGCACTGCAGGGCTGCCTGCCCAAACCTTTGCTGGAAGCACTGTCCCACTCTTTTGTTCTTGCAGAGCTGCCTGAGGAGAAGGAGAAAGTCAAGAAAGCAGCAGATCACTGCCGCCAGATCCTCAACCACGTGAACCAGGCTGTCAAAGAGTCAGAGAACAAGCAGGTGGGAGGCCCAGAGTGAACCCCCAGGGCTGGGCACAGCAGTAAAGCTGCACTCTGGGCAGTTTTGCTGCTCCAAGTGACCATTTCCTTGCATTTCCTGCAGCACCTGGAGGATTATCAGCGGCGACTCGACCTCTCCTACTTGAAGCAGTCAGAGGATCCCATGATGGATGAGTTCAGGGTGAGTGGGAGCATTAAAACCGGCCCTGGGTGAATGGAGTTTGCAGCCCTGATGTTCACTTTGTGCTTCTTGTGGTGCACAAATAAGTGGTCTTTGGAGATAAATATTTCTGTATGAAAATGAAAACAATTTATCTCAGAAATGTGAGATTTGCTACCTTCCTGAAGATTTCGGTGGCTCTAACAGCTCAGTTCTGCACATCATGGTGCTGATGAAGCTTGTCAGCTCTGTGCAACAAACCTTTATGGCCTGCAAGCTCAAGCACTGTATCCCAGAAGAGAGATATCTTGTGGATAAGGAGATTATTGTGGGTATTTATCTCATGTGAGTGCATGTCTTAGTGATGCTGTTGGAACTGGGGAGACCTTGGAGAGCCCTGAGGTGTAACAGTGGAATTGGCTTTAAAAGGAGAGCATGTACAAAATCATGGGAGATCCACACAGCCAAATAAAACCTGAAGTCAGTATTAAAAATACTCTGTTCCGTGGCTCCTGTAAATCCCTGCAGTTCTCTTGGAAGCTGGTTACCTGCTGGTTGCTTCCCCATCTCCCTCAAAGTCAGTGTGAATCAAAAAACCCCAACTTTTCTATAAAACTGTGTCATGTATCCTTCCCCAAATAAACTTGCAAGCATTCAGCAAGGGAAGGAAGAACTTCTGGCAGCTACGAAATCTCGCTGTCATTGATTGCAGACTCTGAGACTTGGAAGGGATGAATTGTGAAAATTGTCACTTCTGCTTGCCTGCAGATCTAAATGTCACAAGCACTGAAGTGCCTGAAGAATCCATTGACATTACAAAGCCTGTCAGATCATTGGGATGATTTGTAAATAATTTGTAGGCACACTTGACTTGCAAATCGAGTGCTGCAGTATTAATCAGTTGTAATGCTAGAGCTGAATATGGGGGATTGGAAAAACTCCTCCTAGGAAACAGGTGACATCCTCATGCCCCAGGAGCTTGACTTGGAGGGAGAATTCTCCACTCTGTGGCACTTGGCTTGTGGAAAAGAGCAGTGGAAGAGGAGAAGTGATAAACAGCATCTCTGACAAGATTTGGGTTCCCTGCTCCATGTTTCTTTTCCCAGCCTGGCTTCAGCTGCTTAGCTCCAAACTGGAGTCCCTCTGGCAATTCCTGTGTTTTATCATGACTTGCTTCCATGGAAATTTCATTTTTTTTCTTTCCCCTGGTGACAGAACCTGGATCTAACAAAGAGAAAGATGCTCCATGAAGGGCCCTTGACCTGGAAGGTGAATCGTGACAAAACCATCGGTGAGTCTGGGCCATCCCCCATCCCCTGGCTCTGGGTGAGTCTGCTGGGAAGGAGAGGAGGGAAAAGCTCTGCTGCAGCTCCCAATTATGCTTCTTACTGCCACCTCTAATAATGCCTGTGTGCTTCTCTGAGCTGATTAAATTATTCTTGTCAATTGTGAAATGTGCTGGAGTATCATTAGGGCCACGCAGGGACACAGCAGTCAGTCATGAGCTGATCCAGTTCCATCTGTAGCTTTCTGCTGGAGTTTTCACCAGGAAGATTTGCAAGCTTTGCCTGGAATGGCACAGCACTGATTGCTGCCTCTGCATGAGTAATCAGAAATGCAGCTTTCTGCTTCCTGATGGGAATGTTTTTAACTCGTTCTGGGCTTTTTTGGCATTCTGGGCAGATCTGTACACTCTGCTGCTGGAGGACATCCTGGTGCTGCTGCAGAAACAAGATGACAAACTGGTGCTGAAGTGCCACAGCAAGATCCTGGCATCCACAGCTGACAGCAAACACACCTTCAGCCCCATCATCAAACTCAACACTGTGCTGGTTCGCCAGGTGGCCACAGGTCAGTGCAGCCCACTGAGAAAGCAAAAAGAGAAGCCAAAAATAAAGATTAGCTCAGTTGAGGAAGATGATTTTGTGTAGATTTGCAGAGCAGAACATGGAAAACTGCGTAGGCTTAATTCTTGGTTGTCCAACATCGTGCTTAGTATGGATGAGCTGTTTAACTTCTTTGCATCAGTAATAGGCATTTGCTTGAGTTTTAAATAGACTTCTAAATGAAAGTACTCTGATTGTGTTAGAGGAAAAGCACTCTGGAAATTATTAGAAGGGAAAAGAGGAGAAATGGAGCTTTTGCAAAATGGGTTTTTTCCTTTGAGGGCACATTTCTTTGATAGGACAAGGTCAGTGTTTCTGTATTAGTGTTGGAAAGTTATCTCATGGACGTTTTCCTTGCTTTGGGCTGGGGTTATGTAGGAATTTTTGGGAAGCTGTTTCAGTTCCCTTCCCTGTGTTGGTGCAGATAACAAAGCTTTCTTCGTCATCTCCATGTCGGCGACGGGGGCTCACATCTACGAGCTGGTGGCACAGACTGTCTCAGAGAAGAATGTGTAAGTCCTGGGCTCAATCCAGCTGCTGCTGGCTTTGCTGGACCTGAGAGACCCTTTACCCCATGAATTCCCTGAGTTCCTTCTCTAAATTCAGCTGGAAATCTTGTGGTCTCTGTAAGAAGCACCCACAGATAGTCCCTCCCAGCTGGCTCACTCCAGACTCTTTCCTGACCTCCAAAATGTTTTTATTTACCCTTAAAAATCTGGTTTTTGATGTCTGACTGCCAGATCAGATACAGAAATAATCCTGCATCTTCATGCAGCACCAGAGATCTTTGCAGATTTACATTCTGGCATCATAAACACCCCACTGCAGGAATTGGATTCCGTGGCTAAAAGCTTCATTGGGAGAAACTCTTTTCTCCTAAGGAATACCCAGGGATAGATGTGTTTATGGGATAGATGCCTGTTGCTACATCTATACACTCCAGTGATGTGGGAAATAATGCTTTTTCATGTATTTATATATCAATTAACTGGTTGATCTGACAAGTGATAAGGTCCTGTGTATCATTTCTTTCTGCTGAAGAGCATCCAGGTGAGCTGAGCTTTCTGCTGTGGTGATTTCAGGGTGTTCTGGGGGGGCTGAATGTAACAGAACTTTAAAAAAAAAAAGACATTTCTTTTTGGTAAAAAAAAAAGCAGTAATAATATCAGCTGGGTTTAAGAGGATTAAATAGAGAAATGCTCATTGTGTTTCACTTGCTGGATGGTTTTATTTGCTGTTTCTGCTGCAGCTGGCAGGACCTTATAGCTCAGATGGCAGGAACTTGCTGAATGTAACAGAACTTGAAAAAAAAATGACATTTCTTTTTGGTAAAAAAAGCAGTAATAATATCAGCTGGGTTTAAGAGGATTAAATAGAGAAATGCTCATTGTGTTTCACTTGCTGGATGGTTTTATTTGCTGTTTCTGCTGCAGCTGGCAGGACCTTATAGCTCAGATGGCAGGAACTGTGAAGATGGGGAGCAGCAGAAGGGTGATCCCACTGCCTCAGTCAGGCCCTGGCGAGTAAGTCAAAGCTGCAGGAGGAAGAAAAGCTGATTTTTCTTTCTCCAGCACCCCTTTTCCTGCTTACAAATTGCCCTCCAAAGCATTCTCCTGCAGATGAACCTGACTCAAAGGATGTGTTTGTTCCCTCCCTGCAGAGAGGAGCGTGAGGAAGAGGAGCAGCAGAAGCTGAAAGAGCAGCATGACATTCCTGCCAGCAGCCTGCAAAGTCCAGGTAAAGCAGGGATTCAGGGAGTGGAGCAGGAGATTTGCTCCCCAGAGTGCAGATGTGCCCAGCCATAGTCCTGGGGGATTTGGGAGCCTAGGGCAGCTTGGAGATTTTTCTGGAAAGGGATGATTTCTTTACAAGTCATTCAGAGAAGTGATGCTGAACCTCTTGGAAATGCACCTTTTACTATTCCCATCTGATTTATAAACTGCTGGAGAGTCTTTTTTAACCCTGGAAAGAGCTGGCCTTATAGCAAAGCCATACTGAAGAATCTTAGTGTTTCCAGAGTGGAATTTTCTGCAGTTTTGTCACCATTGTTTCACCTGAATTTTTTTTCTTTGGTCTTCTAGATAAAGATTTGGGCCTTGAGTCTCCCTTAATACTGAACCCTCAGTCCTCTTCACCCATCATGTCTGAGAAGGCCAAGGTGGAAGGGCTGCTGGGGGCTGAGGAGCAGTTTGAGAAGGTGCAGCAGGCAGAGCTGGCACTGAAGGACTCCTCTGCCTGCTTTGAACACCCAGCCAGCAGCTCAGCCTCAATGCCAGAGGGGCAGTGGGCACGGGATGCCCTGAGGAACTGTGAGTACCACCCTGGGCTGGGCTTTGGAGGTGGAATTTGGCCAAACAGCCCATTTCCATTCATTATCCATCCCCCTGGGCTGGATGTGACAGCAAGGAGTTCTGAATGCATGCACTGCCCCTTCCCTGGGCTTTAAGCATCTCCTGGTTTTTCTGGGGTTTTCTCTATCAAATGAGGGTGATCATGAATTTCTACCATCCATGGAGTGCTTTGATGGCAAAATTATATTGCAGAACCTAGTGCACAGTGCCATTGCTGGTCAGCAGTTTTTAAAGACAAGGCAGTCAGCCCTGGCTTATTTCTGTAGCACTGGAGCAGAACTGGAGAGGTTGCTTGTGTTGCAGAATGCAATTTTCCTTTTTTTTTTTTTTTTCTGTAAAATCCTGCAAACTGTTAAGCTCACTTGTATCCAAAGTACTCAGATTTCTGAATACTTGGGAGGTGGTTGGGTGTAATTGGATGAGCATTTGTGTGTGTTGAGAAGTTTTCCTGATGGACAAATCATTGTTTGAAATTGTTTTTTAAGGTTTTTAATCACTTCCTCTGCTCTCAGAGGAAGAATGCAGGGCTCTGCAACCTGCTGGATCAGCTCTGGCAGTGCAACTCCTAAATATAACTCCCTAAAATTTGAATGAATTCATTAATCCACAGACCTGTCCTTGGCAGCTCTGGAAGGGACACAAAGTCCCTCAGCTGTACTTGGAGGGAAGAGTCTGTGGAATATTTGCTTTTACCAAAATGCAGAACTCTCACATCCTTGGCCCCAATTGCCTTTTCCATCTCTCTCTCCAAGCAATGACAGTTCTCTGCAGTCTCAGAGTTATCTCAGACCTTTAATTCCATTTATTCTCCTTCTTAGAGGATTTAAAGTTCTTTTCTAGTTCTGAATATTGGATAGATATTCTTGGTACTTGTTTTCAGAGACCACAGCTAAAATAATCTTAGTCTGGGGGTGTGTAAGGACACTTGCAGTGACCCTACAGCATCTCCTGAGTGTTGAGAGTTAAAAGAGCAGCTCTCCAACATTGTGACAAGAGCCTGAGCTGAGTGACAGTTCTGCTGTGTGACATCACTGCTTTTTTTGGGTGCTGCAGGAGCATTTTGTGGTGAGGAGGAACAATCTGGGGCTCTTGACAGCAGCACGTTTTTGTTTGGAACAATATGTCCCTATTATGAAGTGTTTGGTTGGGATAATTTGGGAACTAAAGGAATGTGGGTTGAAGTTCAACCAGGCATAAATTTGCATTGAATTTTAGGGAAAATGTTTCTTAGATTTTTTTTCCCTTTTTTTTTTTTTTTTTTGCTGACATTTCAAACCTTAGTGGAATATTCCCAGTTTCCTTGAGGTGGGAATCCCCTGCTATAACCACAGCTGTGAGCTCCTGTGCAGGGTGAAACCCAGGCACTCAGGATAATTTATTTTACAATTTTCTTGGAGACAATTTCTTTGGTTTTCTCCAAGGAGATGTTTGTCCTGACATATTGTAAGGTAAAACAGGAGAGTGAGGCTGGAACTTTTAATACATATATTTTTATCCCTGTTTTTCCAACCAAGAGCAAGGAGTCACACCTCTGTCAGAGGCTGACCTTTGTGTCTGCTTTAATCCCTTCTGTGCTCCATGAGCGTTGCCTGCATTTGTCAGGTGCCATTAGTGCAAGAGCAGGATTTCCAGACATTATGGTAGAAACAGATTTTGGGCAAGCAGGAAGGGAGCTGATGAGCTCATAGAATATCCTGAGCTGGAGAGGAGCCAGAAGGAATTTTAGGGAAAATGCTTCTTCGCTTTTTTCCTATTTTTATTTTTTTTTTTTTTGGGCTGTCATTTCAAACCTGAGCGGAATATTCCCAATTTCCTTGAGGTGGGAATCCCCTGCTATAACCACAGCTGTGAGCTCCTTTGCAGGGTCAAAGTTTGAGTCATTTTGTCACTTGGAGTCCAAATTGTGTCCATCTCATCTGACCCTTGCCTGTCCTTGCAGTGGGGCTGCTGAAGCAGCTCTTGGTGCAGCAGCTGGGCCTGGCAGAGAAGGGCACCCTGGAGGACAGACAGCGCTTGCCCAGGTTCAGGAGCGTGTCCCAGGAAGCCCAGACAGAGAGTGGCAACGAGCTGCAGCCCTCTGAGAGCAAATTCCAGCAGCCTGGAGAGGACAGAGCCCTTGGCAGAACTGGAGAGGCCGCGGGCGGGCACGGCGCCCGGACTGCAGCCGAGTGCCCGGCCTCAGGGGATGCCATGCAGCTGGTGGGCACGGAGCCCCCCGCCAGGGGCACTTTGCCCATGGACAGCATGAACCTGGAGGGCTCCAGCTCGGAGCTGGAGGGGCTGGGGGCTGAGGAGAGCGGGGAGCATTTCTTCGATGCCCGGGAAGCTCACAGCGACGAGAACCCCGGCGAGAGCGAGCTGCTGGACAGGAAGGAGGAAGAGGAGGAGGAGGAGGAGGAGGAGGAAGAGGAGGAGGAGGTGCAAATTCGGATCTCAGGTGAGCCTGGGGCACTCCTTCAGGGGGTGATGGCCTGGCCAGGTCCTTTAACACTTCCCCTTTTGCTTGTCTGGGTAGGACAAGAGCTGCCAGCTCTCACCAGGTCACTTTAGCCCTGTGCAAACACGGACCTGGTTCATTCTTCCTGTGCTGGAGGAGAAGCTGAAGAGCTGGGGACACACCCTGTGACAAACTGGAATTGCAGAGGCACCAGGCACAGGCCAAGCCTTCAGTTCTGGCCTGGACCACTTCTTCTCTCTGCTGCCTAAAGGGAAAAGGTTTTCCCTGGAGGCAAAGCACTTTTTAAAGCCCTGTTCCTGATCAAGTTTCAGGAAAGAAACTCACTTTAATTTTGCACTGTAATAGTCTCCTGTAACCTTACCACACTCTGAACCTCTGAAAAGTTTATTATTTTATGATTTTTATTGTTATTGCTGCTCATGGACTATTTGACAGCTTCCTGAGCACACCAAACTGAGCACAGAAGCTGAGGTTTATCTCATGTGCATTTTCTACTAGAAGCAGCTGCTATCAAGTGGGTTCAACACTAACAGCCACACAGAAGTCTCTTATCCATAAATATACTCTTATTTAAAAATTGGATTATATCCACATGGATAAGCCAATTTATGACTGCCCCAATGCTGCTTTCCAACTACACAGTGCAAATAACTTTTCTCACTGAGACATTTTAAATTATTAAAACTGAGCCAACAACTTGAAGCATCTAATTTATTTGTCACCTCTTCCACTGTTTACTTTCTTAACTGTATGGGGACATCAAAATGAGATTGATCTGGTTTTAGTCAATTCTGAGTCCCCTGTGCTATTATGGAGAAATTCATTAAATGGACTCCTGTTTCTGGGTGCAGGTTGTGAAAACATTTTCTGTCTGTAGTTACTTTATCTTTTAGCATATCAGCAAGCTCTGCTTTAAACCTCACCCATCTAAAAGCATCCTAAGTGCCAGGGCTGGGGAGTGGAGTTTGGGGATCCAGCAGCTGCATTTGTCAGGTGCCATGAGTGCAAGAGCAGGATTTTCAGATAATATCATAGAAACAGAGATTTTGGGCAAGCAGGGAGGGTGAGCTCACAGAATATCCTGAGCTGGACAGGAGCCAGAAGGATCATTGAGTCCAGGTGCTGTCCATTTAATTATGGGCTTTTTAAATGTACAGTATAAAAACCATCCCTGGTCTCTGAACCTGATCAGAGCCACCTGAGTCTGACAGCACCATTAATCTTTGGAGTGTTCCCAAATGGTTTTTCTCAGGAGATGGCCTGTGGGACACCCCCACTAAAAATCTGCTCAAACCCCCCTGAAGCTTCTTGGGGCTAGTTGAGTCAAACCCCATTGTCTCTGCAGGGAATTATTTGATTTTTCTCAGGAGATGGGCTGTGGGACATCCCCACTAAAAATCTCCTCAGACCTCCCTGAGCCCTGAAACTTTTTGGGGCCGGTTGAGTCAAACCCTGTTGTCTCTGCAGGAAATGATTTGATTTTTCTCAGGAGATGGGCTGTGGGATTTCTTTTCTCAGCAGATGGGCTGTGGGACATCCCCTCTTTTGTCTGTTAAAATCTGCTCCAACCCCCCTGAGCCCTGAAGCTCCAATCCCCGTTGTCCCCGCAGGAAATTATTTGATCCTTGATGGATACGGAACAGTGCAGGAGAGCTCCACGGACGAGGAGGTGTCAGCCCTGGTCCTGCAGTGCACCTCCCACAGGCAGCCCGCCCTGGACTGTCCCCAGCAGCAGCAGCAGCAGTGTCCCCTGTCCCCAAGGGACACCCAGTCGGACGGGGGCAGCTCGCCCTTCCCCGAGGAGCTGCGCTGGGCAGGGCTGGAGGAGCCCTGTCCCTTCCTGGGCAGCCCCCAGCTCCCTCTGGAGATCCGAGTGCAGCTCATGCAGTACATCCACAACATCCAGGATGCCCTGGAGAAGCTAAAGGTGCGTTGCTTTTTCTTCTTTTTTATTATTATTATTAATATTGCACATAGAATGTTTGATGGTCACCTGAGCGTTTGATCATTTCCATACCCGTTCATTTTGGGCTTAGAAAAAAGCCTTAAAACTATTTTGATGGGCAAGGACACAGCCAGATTTCTCTTCATCTCTGGCTCTTACTCCTGGAAGGCTGTTGTATTTGCAGGGAGGAAAAATCCTGGGTGAAGGGATTTTTCCAGAGAATGTGAATGCTACAGAAGACTTTAGACCAGAATCTTTGGCTTTTTTTGCTGTTGTGTGGGCATTGAGTTGTGGATCACAACAGGCCAATAGTTCTGGAGCTGGAGGACTCTTTGTTGCTTTGATTTTGATCTGGAGACATTTCTGAAGGATAGGAAGCATGCAAAAGTGGAGTTTTCAACAGGACACTGGCCTGAGGAATGTGAATTCCTGGCACAAAGATTAGGGCAAGGTTCTTCAGAGAGAGGTGGGAAGGACTGGAGTCCCCATCCCTGCAGGTGTTCAGGGACACACTGCATGTGGCACTCGGTGACAGGGTGGTCTTAGGGCATGGGTTGGACTCAGACATCTCAAAGGCCTTTTCCAGCCTTGGTAATCCTGTGAAATCTCTCATGTGCTGCTGCTCATGGGGTCACATGAAGATTCTGAGTTGCACTGAGGATATCAGACCAATATTGAGGTTTTCAGGCTCTTTATATTCCAAATAATTTTTGCATGGGACAGGGATTCTCTTTATAGAATAACTGCAGAAGATTTGATGTGTGAAACATCCAGCAGCCAGCCTTTAATTTCACTGAAATCAGAATATTGCATGCAAATGGAGCTGCTGATGAAGGAGTTGAGGGGGCTCACTCCAACCTGGGTGTTTGCAGTAGTGAAACTTCTCTTTTCCTGTTTGAAGCCCTCTTTGTTTGCTTGGTAAATGGAGAGCCAGCTGAGTTTTGGGGCTGTTGTTGCTGTTTTGCAGGAGGTGGAGGAGGATTACAGCGTTCTGCGGCGCCAGGGGCTGGCTGGCTCAGCCTCCACAGGAGAGCACTCAGGTAGGAGCCCAGAATCCAACCAGAGCACAAAGCCCAGGGTTTGGGCTACCCAAAAACAGGGGCCAGGCAGAATTAAGGGAATAAAAAGCAGATCTGTTTATTGAAGGGCCTCCAGGTACATTTAGGGCAGATGAAGCCCACCCAAAATGGAGATTTGGTCACGGGTTTCACACTTTTATAAGTTTGGTCCATTTGCATTTTTGGGGTCAATCTTCCACTTCCAGCTTCAGCCAATGAAGTCATTGACCCCAAGTTTGCTCCCCCAACTGGGTTTCACACTTTTATGAGTTTGGTCCATTTGCATTTTTGGGGTCAATCTTCCACTTCCAGCTTCAGCCAATGAAGTCATTGACCCCAAGTTTGCTCCCCCAACTCCCTTTTGTTTCCATCTCTCAGGCCTGAGGCAGTGAGGTGTCCTTGATTGCCAGGCCTGGAGAGGAATTGTTGTGTCTGCCCCAAATGGGGAAGCAGCAGCTCCCACTGTGTGTGGAGTTTGGAGTTCTGCACTAAAGAACAGCAGGTTACAAATAGATGGAAAATATGAAATCCTGAGCTATCAGAGGTGCAACTGGCCTTTCTCACATGCCCAGAAAAGGTTTCACCTCCTGGAGCAGCCCTGGCAGTGCTGCCTGAGGAAAGCTCAGCTCCATCCCTGGAGGCTCAGCTGAGCTGGTTCCTGTTCTGGAAGGTTCTGTTCCAGCTGCCCCACACCTCCATCCCAGGGTGAACTCCTCCAGGCAGGCCAGAGGGGTGGGAATCCCACAGGGAGCTTCCTGGAATGCTGAGCCTGGGGGAAGTTGCTCCAGGTGGAATTGCTGAGCTCCTGGCCAGGGTTGGGGTGAGATGGGTGAGGAGCTCTCAGTGAGCAGCCCTGCCTGTGGCAGTGCTCAGAAAAGCCACTCACTCCTCTCCCAGGCCATCCCTCTCTCTCACCACCTTTTTTTCCCTTTTTTTCCCTTTTTTTTCCCCCTTTTCAGACAAAAGCTAGTCGTGTTTCCAGGAGTGGCTGAAGATGGGATGAAGAGAATCAGGACACAGCACCCGCTGTCTCCCCTGTGGACTCTGGGATGAGGGTTTGGAGCATCCAAACAGGAACCATTCTCTAGCAAAGTGGGCATGGGGTGCTTTTCCTGTGGGGCATCTGCACTATCTTGTCAGTGAGGGAGTCTATTCTATTCTGCTCCTCTCCTTGCTACCAGAAATTCAATTTTTTTTTTTTTCAGAACAGGAAAAAAAAAAAAAAAACCAAACCAAATGTACAGAGCTTTGGGTGTAGGATATAAAAAAAAATGTATTTAGACATTTAAAAGAAAAAAAAAAAATCAATGTATTTATTTGACTTCATTCCGTGTATCAAAAGCACATTTTAATTTTTTAATCTGCCTTTTTTTTTTGTTCTATTTTTGGGTAGTGACAGTTCTGGCCCACCCTGCCTGGTGAGGGGACAGGGGGGACCTGTGTGCAGGTGTTTCCTCACTGGACTGGACTCTGCACTCCCTGCTGGCACTCAGACTACCAAGAGCTACTCATGAAGGTGTTAGGATGGAATTTATGGCTGGAATTTGTCTGTATCCAACCAGCTGCATGGGAATTGCTCATGTCACCACATGTGGAACAGGAATTTTCCATGCACTAAACAGCCAGGCACTTGAGATGGGCAAATTTTCCTTTTCCCCTTTCCCATTCCTTTGCTGGGAGAGGAGAAAGAGGTTTAATTTTGGTTTTTTCTTCTTGACTTTGTTGGCTTTGATCATTGTCTCCTTTGTAAAGTGATAAAAAAAAAATACTTGGACCTGCAGCACTTTTGTAACTCTTCTCTGGATCAAAAAAAAAAAAAAAAAGAAAAGAAAAAAAAAGAAAAAAATGCAAACCCAGAAGTGTTTCAAAGATGTGGGGCAGCTGTGCCCCTGATTCACTACTGAATGAAAAAGGGCTGCCATGGAGTTAGCCACAGGTACTGCTGATTTTAGGGCCAGTAAGTTTTAGTACTTGGAGTATGTCTTGCTGAGGGCTCGGGGTGGCTTTGGGGTTGTTTTTTTTTTTGGGGGGGGTTGGTTTTTTTTGAATTTTCCTTTTTTTTTTTTTTTGGAACTCGTTTGTGCCAATGCGAGGGACATGGGTGACCTGAGGAGGCTGAGGCAGCTCTTGGGCACTTCCTCAGGCCTGCCCTGGAATCTGCAGCTGGGATTCCTGCCAGGCTGGGAATTAGGGTGGCCCTGGGCCCATTGCCATTCATTTTCCATCCCCCCCGTGCTGGATTTCACACAGGAGGGCTCTGACAGCCAGGAGTTCTGGATCCCTGCACTGCCCTTGCCTGGCCTTTAGGCATCTCCTGCTTTTTCTGGTTTTCTCTGTCAAATGAGGGTGAAAATGAATTTTTACTGTCCTGCTTGGCACAGGGTGGCTCAAGTGTCCCCAGTGTCACTGGGCTGCTCCTGCCAGGTCTGTGAGGAACAAACCCTCCTCCCAAGGTTTAATCTCTTCAAGGGAGCCAAACTGAGCATCCTGCACATCCCATGGGCACTCAGACCTCTGCTCAGCACCAGGATCCTCCTGCTCCTCTAAACCATTATTTTTTTGTTTTCCTTTTGGCTGCTGGCAAGAAATCCCCTCTGTCCCTTGTCAGAGAAATCCCAGCTCTTGTTCTTCCCCCAGAATCCTGGGGGGATGAGTTCAGGTGGCAGGAGAGGGAGCAGAGGGGATTTTGCTGTCCTGCTTGGCACAGGGTGGCTCAAGTGTCCCCAGTGTCACTGGGCTGCTGCTCCTGCCAGGTCTGTGAGGAACAAACCCTCCTCCCTTTAAGGGAGCCAAACTGAGCATCCTGCCCATCCCATGGACACTCAGACCTCTGCTCAGCACCAGAATCCTCTTAACCAATTTTTTTTTCCCTTTGGCTGCTGGCGAGAAATCCCCTCTGTCCCTTGTCAGAGAAATCCCAGCTCTTGTTCTTCCCCCAGAATCCTGGGGGGATGAGTTCAGGTGGCAGGAGAGGGAGCAGAGGGGATTTTGGTGTTGGAGCCAGGAGCCCTTGGAGGGTTGTTTTTCCTGTTTGTTTTTCCTGTTGTTTTCAGAGCATCACCACTGCCAGCAGCAGCCAAAGCCTCCTGCAGGCTGCCAGGAGCTCCCTGGTTTTTTGGGATGCACCAAAGCCTGTCCTGTTGTGTGGGATTATTGTCAGTATTAACCCAGCACTCCCCTCCTCACCTCAACCCCGCATTTCCCCGGGTTATAAACATCCAAATTTCCTCCAGAACCCCCCAGCCTGGAATGCTGCCAGGAAGAGAACTGGAAAACAGCCCAGACTGGGGTTGGACCCTTTTCCCTCTCACACTCCAAACCCAGGAGCAGTTGTTGTGACCTCAGTGACCTAAAGGGTTCCCAGAGGCTTCCGTGGAGCTGTCTGGCTTCGGAAGAATGTTCTGGAAGAGCAGCAGAGGTGGGGCCTGGGGAGGCCTGGGTGGTTCCTGCTCTGTGCTGGTGGTTGAACACAAATTCCAGGGTCTGTGGTGGTCCCTGGTGTCACCCCTGGGGGCTGTGCCAGCAGTGAAAAGCTGGGAGTGCAGCGAGGTTGTCAGTTCGCTTTTTTGCCTGCTGGGGTGGCTTTTACCCCAAAAACAGCTGTGTCCCTGTCACTCTCAGGGTGGATAAGGGACAATCCCCCCCTCAGTGCCAGGCTGGCAGAGGAGCCATCAGGGCTTGGCAGAGGTTTGGGAATGCTGGAGGATCCCAGACATCTCTGGGTGACAGAAACCCCACTCTGCTGGCTGTGCTTCCAGCTCTGGGTCACCTCACTGGCAGGGAGGATGCTGGGTCAGGGATCCCTTCACTGGAGGGACAGGCAATTCCTTTCTCCAGGGAATTCCTTGCTCCAGGGAATTCCTTTCTCCAGGGATTCCTTTCTCCAGGGAATTCCTTTCTCCAGGGAATTCCTTTTCCCTCCCCAGCACGCCTGCAGCACCACAGACCTCGGGCTGGAGCTCAAATGCACTATTCAGGATTCCCACAGTTTTTTCCTCCTTTAAGCCATAAGATTTCCCCTTATTTTAAAATGAATTTATTGTTTTAATTTGCCCCTGGTTGGTTGGGCATTCCCTTATCCAAACAGTTCTCTGGAGTTTTTAATCCCAGCCCCTCGTCACAAAAATATTTTTTTCCCCCCTTCCCCAAACAGAACAAGGATTTTTTGTTTTGGGAACAAGGATGGGATGTAAGAACATCATCTGAGAGGTCATTTCCCTTCTGCTGTCACCAGCTCATGGACAAGCCAAAAGCTGAAGATGGAATTTTCTGGAATGGGAATTCCCCTGTCCTGCAGAAGATCCCTGCTGGGTAGGGAGGGGGGCTCAGAGGATGAGGAGTGCAAACCTGAGGAGCTCTCAGACAGCACCTGGCCTCTTCCAGCCTTTAAAACCTGATTTATCTCTCCCTGCTATTAGATTGCATTCTCCTGGATCCAGTATTTTTCTCCCTGTTCCCCAAAGAAATCCCTGGATTCCCTCCCCTTCCCCAAAGGTGCCAACTGACAAGCAGATGTACTGCAAAAGGGATACTGCAGCCAAAACACTGCTGTTTTATTTTGAATTAAGTCTTGTGGAGCTCTCTTCATACTAGAATATTTTTATTTTCTTTGTACAACATACAATCATGTACTCTTAACAGAGATTTACTTTAAAGAGAAGAAAAAAAAAATCTGGAAGTATTCTTTAAAAAAAAAATTACACAAAAATCTTTATTAATAATCCTGTATTTTTACTGATCATGTTTGAATGTCTAAAAAGACTTTATTGTTCTAATTATCCAGATGTATGTTTGTAAAATAGCTCTTTTATGACTTAGCTGATCGGGTTGTATGTTTCTGGAATTAAATATTGGTCACTTAAAAAAAAAAAAAAGAAATCTGTTTTCAGGACCTGGGAAATAGAAAATTTAAGCGTTTCAAATATCATTAAATAAGCTTAAAGGAAAATGAGCTTTGTCTGCTGGATTTTTTGGGGTGGTTTGGCTGTAATTCCTGGAGTGTTTAAAGGACAAATGATGGCAAAGGAAATTTTCCTTGGGGCTGATGAATTTTTCCAGAGATTGAAGTACCTTGATCGTATTTTTGCTGCTCAGAGCTATTAATTAATTAATTAATTAATTGACAGAGCACCCACTGCAGGAAAATAAATCCCCCTTTGCTCCAAGCTGAGCTGACCCTTCAGGAATTCCCTGCAGGAGTTGGAGCCTTGGTGTGTCCAAGGCCCTCCTGGGATTAGAAAGGGAATTTCTGCCCTTTTTAAAGGAATTTCTGCCCTTTTTTAAGGAATTTCTGTCATTTTGAAGGAATTTCTGCCCCTTTTTAAGGGATTTCTGTCCTGTTGAAGGAATTTCTGCCCTTTTTTAAGGAATTTCTGCCCTTTTTGAAGGAATTTCTGCTTGCCCTGGCCACAGCCAGCCATTTAATGAGTTCTGGAGAAGTTCACAGGAGCTGCACTGGCTGAGCTGATGTTGAGACACTTCAGAGTTCTGCTCCCAAATCCCAAATAATTTCTGGGTTCTTTTCCCTTTTAAATCCAACCAGAGCCAATATCCAGTTAAATTAATTGATTGATCCTGGTAATTTATTGTTATTTTTTAGAGGTAATTTGTTCTGAAGGCTGGGAATCATCTCTGTGCAACCCTTCCCTGTGATGTTTCACCTCAGCATCTTGGCAAATATTTATTTGCATCCCCATTTTTCTGCTGGATCTTTTTCCCTCCACTGGGACCAACCCAGAACTGTAAAAGAGAAGTGAAATTAAATCTCAGCTGCTGAGGAACCCGTGCATTTTTGAACAGGGAACATCTGTGCTCAGATTTGGTGATTTCTGAGCTGAGGCTGCTCTCCCCCAATCCCTGGCTTTAGTGACATTCTTGTCCTTTCCTTCCCTGCAAGGTGATGATTCCTGACAGACAAACTGGCAATAATAAAAGAATTAAGAACAACACCAAAATAGAAAACAAATCAGCTTTATTCCTAAAAACTTGTGAGCTTTTCCTTTTTTTTTTTTTTTTTAATTTTCCCTTCCCTGTCTGCATTATGAACATGAAGCTCCTTGAGAGATTTCTTTATTACTTTATTATAATTGGTAATCTGAGCTCTATTACATTTTCCTAATGATGCTCTTCGTGTTTTGCCTATTTAAATGTTATTTTATATATTCCCTTTACTGCCTTGCTGTAAATAAATGATTCAAAAACTCAGCAGCTCAGAGAAATCCAGCTGGGGGTGGGGAGAGCTGGGCTGCAGTTTTGGGGTTGTTCCGCACCCACAATCCTGGAATTCATCTCTCCACAGGCAGGGGAGACATGAGGGGGATTCAGGGAGTCATTGCAGGGGGGGTTGGGTCATTTTTAGGCAATTTTGGGTCATTTTTGGGTCATTTTGAGTTATTTTGGGGCAATTTTGGGTCATTTTGAGTCATTTTTGGGTTATAGGAGCATTAAGGTCCTTCCAAGCCAAACCATTCCATGATCCAGGGGGTTCTGAGCAATTAGGGTGGCACTCTGTCCATCCACCTCCCTAAATGATAAAAAACAACTGTTTAATCCATTTGTTCTCTCAGCAAAGATCCCTTTGGTATTTGCTGAAAAATACCCATAATTTCCCTTTTTTTTTGTCAACTCTCAATGGATTTTAGGTTTTGTTCTTTCAAAATATTGATGGGAGGTTGGTGTAGGATGGAATTTGTCCAGTCCCTGGCACGAGTTCTTTGCCAGTTGGGCTGAGCATTTTGGGGGGAAATATTTCCCATCAGAGATGGGCCCAGCACTCCCAGAATGGAAAAAAAAATAAAAAATTTGGATGTGCTTCCTTCAAAGTGTGATCCAGAATTAAACGGGAAAGAGCCTGGGGTTAACACTGAGCATATGCCTGGGTTAAAATGTTGGTTTGAGAAATCTTCCAACATTTTTAGGCACCTGTTATTATGATTAATATAAAAAAATTATATAAAATGTATATATGTATTAAAAATGCTGTTTTTAAAAAAGAAGCTCAGGGGAGTTTTTAGAAGGAGCCAAAAGTTTTGATGCCACTTTCAGCTCCACCCTGGTGAGGTCAGGCAGTGAAAATAAAGCTGTGATTTGTGAGGGGCTTCAGAGCTTTTCTGCACGTTGGTGTCCAGCCCCATTCACTGATTTCATCACTTCTGGAAAGTAATCCTGGGAGAAGGAAATTGGGAATGAGAGGAAATGGCCTTGAGTTGTTCCAGGTGAGATTCAGGTTGGGCATTTCTGGTATTTCTCCATGGGAAGGGAGGTCAGGCATTGGAGCAGGGTCCAATTGGAGCAGTGGTGGGGTCAGCATCCCTGGAATGTCCAAACCCTGTGGATGTGGCCCTTGAGGCTGAGTTCAGCATCCCTGGGATCTCCAAACCCTGTGGATGTGGCCCTTGAGGCCGAGTTCAGCATTTCTGGAATCTCCAAACCCTGTGGATGTGGCCCTTGAGGCCGAGTTCAGCATCCCTGGGAATCTCCAAACCCTGTGAATGTGGCCCTTGAGGCCAAGTTCAGCATCCCTGGGATCTCCAAACCCTGTGAATGTGGCCCTTGAGGCCAAGTTCAGCATCCCTGGGATCTCCAAACCCTGCGAATGTGGCTCTTGAGGCCAAGTTCAGCATCCCTGGAATCTCCAAACCCTGTGAATGTGGGCCTTGAGGCCGAGTTCAGCATCCCTGGAATCTCCAAACCCTGTGAATGTGGGCCTTGAGGCCGAGTTCAGCATCCCTGGAATCTCCAAACCCTGTGAATGTGGGCCTTGAGGCCGAGTTCAGCATCCCTGGAATCTCCAAACCCTGTGAATGTGGGCCTTGAGGCCGAGTTCAGCATCCCTGGAATCTCCAAACCCTGTGAATGTGGGCCTTGAGGCCGAGTTCAGCATCCCTGGAATCTCCAAACCCTGTGAATGTGGGCCTTGAGGCCGAGTTCAGCATCCCTGGAATCTCCAAACCCTGTGGATGTGGCCCTTGAGGCCGTGGTTTGGAGCTGCCATTGTGGCTGATGGGTTTTTATTATCATTTACTGATCTTCAAGGGCGTTTCCAACCTTAAAATTTCCATTATTCCATCCCAGTGCCTTTCTTGCTTGAGTCCTCCTGCATTTCTCCCCATCCCAAACCAGAAATCCACCAGCCTTTCCTTTAATCAGGAAAACTAATTTTTTCCCCCTTCTTCCTCAGCTGCTGGGAGTTTACAGCTGCAAATCATCCAGTTGGGCTTTTGGCAGAATAAAACCCCCAGAATATCCCAGCCTCTTCCTTTCTTGCAGCAGTTTGTTTGTTTCCAGATGTCTGCAGCTTATTCAGCGTGGAGCATCTCCCCTGATCAATATTTTAGCCTTCTTGTTGATATTTACTCAGTGCTGCTGAATAAACCCCGTGGAGTGGAGCTCCAGAGTGAATCTCCATTTCTCTCAGCTCTCCGGAGCTTTGGCAATAATTTGCATTATCCGGGGTTATTGTTATGCTGGGATATTAATGAGCACATCTCCCTCCCTTCTGTCTCTCCAAAATTCAATTCAGAGCCCACTTCTGGTGCTGAAACAACTTCTCAGCTCTGAATTAGCACAGAGAGGAGAGAGCTTTGTGCTTTTCTTTTGTCAGCTCGCTTTGAAAAAAACCCTTTTCTCTCCAGTTCTAAAAAGATGGGTTTGATGCAACTCCAGCTGCTTGGGCCTTGTGATGAGGGGGGGATTAAACCCTTCTTGGTGGCATTTTGAAATCCTTCTACCATCTTTCTAAACTCTTAAATTTAATCCCACTTCTCTGGCTCTTCACAAAAAACTCCACTCCAGAACTGTCCCATGTTCCCCCGTGCCTGACCTTAACCTGTTCTTTCACCTCCAAACACTGATTTTTTTTTTTCTTATTTGCTTTTTTGGAATGTCTCTCCCGGATTAAATGGGCTCACTACATTTCAGAAGCCCCTCTGAGCAATCCATCACCATCATTTTGGGGCGTGCATGCAGCAGAAGTCAAATAGCCTCGATTGCAGCTTCTATTGAGCTCATCTTTTCTCCTCTGCAATTTCTTCATTGTGCCATAATAAAGCTGCCCCTGTCACTGCTCAGCTCTGCCTCATCCGTCTCCCTCTGCCAGATGGGGGCTGAGAGAAAACGCTCTGCTGGGGCTGGACTGGATCAGTCCAACTCAGAACCTGGAAAAAATTCTCCCCCCCCAAAAAAAAACAGGTTGTTTTTTCCTGCTGGGAATGCAGTGACAGCCCCCAGGCACAGCAGGATGGCTGTGGATGTCCACCAGGAACAGCAAATGACTCCAGCCTTGGCTTCTCCTTCTCAGCAAACCCAGTTCTCTGATTTAGGCACAAATTCCTGCCCCAAAATCCACGGCAGCAGCGTGGTCTCTGCTCCAGCTGCTCCTCCGGGGCTCCGTGCTTGGAATTCCCTTACAAAGCTCAGGGTTTGGGCTCTCAGCAGATCCAAATCTCCCTCTTCAGGTGCTCATTCCCCCAGGACTGAGCCTAGCCTTTTCTCCTTTCCCCTTTCCTTTCCCTTTTTCCCTTTTTCCTTTCTCTTTTTCCTTTCCCTTTTTTCTTTCCCTTTTTCCTTCCCTTCCCCCTTTCCTTTCCTTTCCTTTCCTTTCCTTTCCTTTCCTTTCCTTTTCCTTTTCCTTTTCCTTTTTCACCTTTCTTTCTCCTTTCTCCTTTCCTCCATGGAATTATGAGAGCCAGAACTCTCCATGGAATAATCAGGGCTCCATGCTTGGAATTTCCTTACAAAATTTGGGGTTTGGGCTCTCAGCAGATCCAAATCTCCCTCTTCAGGTCCCCTAGGACTGAGTCTTCCTTTCACTGCCTTCCTTTCCTTACTCTCCATGGAATTCTGAGAGCTGGAATTCTGAGAGCTGGAGCTCTCCATGGAATTCTGAGAGCTGGAACTCTCCATGGAATTCTGAGAGTTGGAACTCTCCATGGAATTCTGAGAGCTGGA